AGCCTGCTGAACCGTCGCAGGCTCCTTGGGAAGAGTGTTGCCGTGGACTGCGGTGACGAGTCCGAGAATCTGCAGTCCAGTCTGTGAGTAGCGGGGAAGAGTTGCATCCTCGGGATAAGCTGCTTCATCTCCCGCTTCTGGATCAGGTATGAAATTCGGTCCTACTCGTTCTGCTTCGTTGGTGTTGACTGTCGCAGGTGTTACGTAACCGTTGTCGGCGAAGTAGTAGAAGGTTTCGGCGTTGACACTTTCGCGAGGGTTATCTTCGTCCATGGGGACGTCGACGGAGCAGAACGGAAGGGGTCCAGCTTCTTCTGATGCGTTGGCCACATTCTGCTCGTCCCAGTCAGCTTCGTCTGCTGCCGAGGCGAAGGCTCGGTCACCACGAAAACCACCTGTGGGATCTTGGTCCTCTTGCAGGTTGGCAAGGTATGTCTGGAGCGTGAGTCGTTCGTAGAAAATGACGTCGCGTGCTGCTACTGTTTCCTTGGAGTGGACGTCAAAGATTTTCCACGGGTTGTAGTTCTTTTCGATGCCGAGGTGTAGTCCCCACTGTGCGCGTTGTGAAAATCGGCCCGCTCGTGCTGCTGGGGGTCGGTACTGTACCATGCATCCGAACACTCGTAACATTTTTGTGCTGCCCTGTTTTCCTGTCCACAGCAGATGCGGTGATGCGTTGTTCGGTAGTGATGAAGATGAGAGCAAGTTGTGCAGCATGACAGCGTGGTCCATCGCGTCAGGCCACTGGTGGTTGGGTAGCCGCATGCCACGCAACAGTTTGCGCATGCTGTTCTGCAGAGTCCTGTTCATTCTTTCTGCTACACCTTGCTGCTGATGGGCGTAGGGAAGAGAGAGGAGCTGCTTGATTCCCCTTTCCGCCAGGTACTGCTTGAATCGCTGAGAGGTGTATTCTCCTCCTCCGTCAGACTGGAAGCTTTTCAGCTTTACGCCCGACTCTCTTTCTGCCACTGGTAGCCAAGCAGCGAATGCTTCGAGGACCATGTCGCGGCTGGGTAGGTTTAGATGCCAGACGTAACGGGTGGCGGCGTCGATGAAGGTGATTGTGTAGTTGTATATTACTTGTCCTGGTTCCCGATTGTACAGGATGTCGCTATACACCTTTTCGAGTGGTGCGTACGCGGGTGTGCTCGGGTTGTGATGAGGAGTGAACGGCCGATGTGGTAAGTCGGCTTCGGGGCAGGTAAGACATGTTCCTCGTGCCCGTTGAAGTTCTCTGCCGTCGAGTAGTAGTAACGAGTCCTTGTCAAGGACTCCTGCTCTTATTGTGTTGTTTAACACAGTGTTGCTTGGGTGTCCCATGCGTGCGTGCCAGATGTCTTCGGAGGCGCGGTGTCCGGGTGAGCGTCGATACGCGTCGGAGTTGGAGTAGAAGTTGGCGGTGAAGTTTGCGCTTCTATGGACTTCCCGTTGAGCCGGATTCAGCTGCTGTGCGGGTGTTGGTGGTGCTTCGTCAACGAGGAGTGGTGTCGTTGTTGCTGCTACTGTTGTTGTTCCTGCTACTGCCGATGATGTCTCTGCTGCTGCCGATGATGTCTCTGCTGCTGCTGATGTTGTCTCTGCTGCTGCCGATGTTGTCTCTGCTGCTGCCGATGTTGTCTCTGCTGCTGCCGATGTTGTCTCTGCTGCTGCCGATGTTGTCTCTGTTGCTGCCGATGTTGTCTCTGCTGCTGCCGAATGTTGTATTGTTACTAACGCACATGTTCGTTCTGCTTCAGGAATGGTATGTGAATACCAAAAGCCTTCCGGACTGAAGTCGGGGTCGAGATCCGGCGGGTGCGTCCAAGATGTGAAGGTGACGATCCCGTCACTGTCTGCGGTGCCCAGGTCTGGGACGAAATCGAGAACGAAGACATTGTTCTTCAGGACCGCCTTTCCGATGTAGAGACCGCCCTTCCCGTGGTACAGCTTGAACTCCTGGGTGGTACTGTCGGCTTCCAGATGTATGCCTTTCGCCATCAACTGACTGACGCTCAGTAAGTTGTAGCCAAGTCCTTCTGCTATTAGGACTTTGGACATTTGCAGTATGACATTCGTCTCTCGTGACTGAAGTTGCACTACTCCTTGTCGTCGTGTGCGCAGGTTCTGATTATTGGCGACAGTGATGACGACTTCTCGTTGAAGTTGGTGCTCGCGTTGAACGAAACGTCCTGAAGAGCACATATGTTGTCCGCAGCAACTGTCCAAGAACCATGTATCCTTCCCGGACGGCTCGCTTTGAGCGATGGCGGCGTACGTCGGGTTCGGTTGAAGTGACTCGCGGCGAGGCGTGCTGTTGTCGAGTTGTTCTTCTGGTGAGTAATATGGTGGTGACTCAGTTACGCAGGAGTCACTCAGCCTTGCCATGCAGCTGACGATGTTTCTTGTTGCTTTCGCAGGTTGTCCCGTCGATGTTGTTGAGACTTGTACTGAAGTTGTCGGATTTGCTTGCGTTGAGGCGACTTGACTGCTTGAAGGGCGAAGTTGGCGTTGCGGCGACGTTGACTGTTGTCGATTCGGGCAGTGCGTACGAGGATGCCCTGAAGTCTTGCAGAGGTGGCAGAACGGAGGTACGATTTTCGGTCGATTGTTGTTGTTGTTGTGGCGCCGTTGAGTGTGAAACGCGAATTCGGGCACTGATACCTTTCTCTTGTGTCGTTCTTCTTGCAGGTCCATGTCTTGCTGCTCGGCGTGGATTTCGGCGCAAAGTGCTGCTTCAGAAATTAACCCGTGGGCTCGTAGTATGGCGCGAGTGGAGCGCCAGTGAGGACCAAGACCGCCGATGACAACCGTGACGAAGGCGTCCTCTGAAATCGATCCTCCACATCGAAGAAGCTTGTCGCGCAGCTCGCGGCAGCGACTGATATACGCCATTCCCTTCTCGCCTAGTTTCATTTCGATTGTTGTCAGCTGCGCCATTAACCGACTTTGGTTTACGCTGTCTGTTGCTTGATACAGGTTCTTCAAGTGATTGTACGCGAGCTCCGCGGAGTTGCCGTAGCCTCGGTAAGACCGTATGTTTTGTTGTTGAGTTGGAGTGATGTTCCTCAGTAGTATCGTGTACGCCATCATCGATTGATAGGTGTACTGCTGCTTCTCATACTGTGTGCCGTTTGTTGGGTATGGCAGGGACCCGTCGAAGAAGCCAAGGATTTGCGCTCCTTCCATCATCAGCTCGAATTCGAACGACCAGGTAAAGAAATCCTTCCCGTCGAAGGGTTTTGTCGTTTGCAGTTTTAGAACGTGCGCGAACTGCGACTGAACTTGTAGTGCGTCCAGCGTTCTCTCTTGTCCCGGTGCAGGTTGTGGTTGTGGCATGAAGCTGACGGAGCCGCGCTGGGGCTCGTACGGAGCGAAGGTAGGTTGCTGTTGTTGATTCCCGCGTGCGTAGGATGAGCCATCGAGACTCATGGGCGTCACGTTGTTGTTGTTGTTGCTGTTGTTTGATTGCGCAGGTGCTCCTTGCTGATGCTGCTCGTAGAAGGACATGAAGGAGAAGAACTTCTCCATCATGCTTGGATCGAAGCCCGCGCCTTGGTTTGCGGGTGTTTCAGTAGACCCAGCTGCCGGTCTCGTTGTTGTGCCTTCCTCTGTCTGTAGGCCAGAGGCAGGAGGTGGAGTAGGAGTAGTACCAGGAGAGCCGTTGGAGGAGCTCCTCTCCTTTCTGGTAGACATGTCTCTTGGTGTATTAGGTGTTAAGGAGAAATAATTTTAACCCTAACCAGCTCTGATACCATGTTGGGCTGAGTGCCCCTTAGGATCTTTGGTAGGGTTAAACTCTGGGTAGAGTGATGTAGTAGCGGAAGCGTTTAAATGAAGTCCTTGAACCACCTTGCGCTGGTATGTGAGGGCAAAGTAAGTTGATTAAAACAAGCAAGTACAAAGGTTTATATAAGAGTACAAAGAATACGAAGAGATATAATTAAACTGTTTTACTGTTGCGGTTCGATACAGTGCGACTCGGGCAACTGCTCAATGTCGAGTCAGTTGTGTGTCCTTGCTGTCGCGCTGCATTTGTCAAGTCAAAGGTCGCTGACCTTTGACTTTCGCGTAACCTCCAGCGGTTACTTCAACCTCCGAGGGTTGACTCGCTGGTGCCTCGATATGCTCTGCTTCGCTTGTGCCTTGGTGTTTCGACACGACAGAGGCGCTTAAGATTGTTTGTTCCCAAAAACAGAAAGGTCCGATAATTATAACTATTGTGTACTCCAATCACAGAACTTAACAACCTGTACTCTTTTGAAAGCAGTGATTGACATGTGTATTAGTGTCGGTGAAGGAACAGCTGAAAACTCAATGCTAAAAAAAAAGAAATCAATCATAGACTAATCATTGAGCATTTCTTGTTCTTCTTTGAGCAGTAAGGCGCGGAGAAATAGCTCTCCTCTCGCCGTCTCCCTGACAGCCGTCGGATCGTCGCCGATGAACCAAGTAGAATCAACAGCTGAGATCTGCATGCAATCAAAGTGACCAACTGTGAGCGTATCCGAGAATGGAAACAAAAAAATAGAGAGAAGGGACCCTTCCCTTGCCTGCCTGTGCCTTTCCTTGCGTACCTTTCCATGTGTGTTCATCTCAAATCTGGTCTTGCCAACCAGAAAAATCGCATCCTCCTCGTCCCTGTCCTCTCCCTTAGTGCCTCCCTCTCCTTCCTTGTCCCCTTCACTATCTTGCCTACCTGTCCTTTCTCTCCCACCGCTGCTACTGCTGCCTCGTTTCATCCGTCTAATCCCCCCCTCCTTCTCATTCCCTTGCCTCCATTTATCCGTTCTCTCCTCTGCAGGAAGTTTCCTGTTCTCCTGCACACCCCTCCTCTCCTCCTGCCCCTCATCTGCAGGAAGGTTCCTCCTGATCTCCGCCTCATGCTCAGGAAGGTTCCTCTCCCACCAGTACGACAGCCCCATGCCTGCCACTGCTTCCCGCCCGCTCTTAGCTAAAAGAATGGTCCAGAGGGCAGTGATCCAACGGCGATCTGTAGGGGGGTGATGCGAGAAAGAACCAGATTACTGAACATTCTTGTCTGCCACTGCTTCCCGCCCGCTCTTAGCTAAGAGTATGGTCCAGAGGGCAGTGATCCAGCGGCGGTCTGAAGGGAGGTGATGGGAGAAGGGGGATTGAGTTGCCAAACATGCCTGCCTTTGACTGCTTCCCTCCCACTCTTTGCTAAAATAATAGTTCAGAGCGTTGTGATCCACCGGCGCTCTGACGGGGGGCGATGAAAGATGAGATCGAGATTATGCGTGATGATGTTTTCTCTTCTCGTCAAATGGATTCAGGTGGGTGGGACAGCCTCATGCCTGCCACTCACTGCTTCCTGCCCGCTCTTAGCTAAGAGGATCGTCCAGAAGGCCGTGATCCAATGGCAGTCTGCAGGGGGGTATTGAGTTAAAAGATTATAAATTACCGAACATGCTTGCCTGCCACTTCTTCCCACCCGCTCTTAGCTAAGAGGATGGTCCAGACGCCCATCATCCAGCGGTGGGTCAGAGGGCAGAGAAACTTGGTGCCTTCACGAGCGTTTCAAAGCAAATGCCCGCAGGCGACCCCATCAACTGTGGGCGGTGAGATTCCTCTCAAGGCTTGGCCTCTCATCTAGAGCATTGAAAACACACCAACGGTTCAATCGATGCTGTTTTGAGACGTCTGAAAACACACAAGCGGCTCACCTGGTTCCCTCACGAGTGTTTCAGAGTAGAGATGGTGCAAATGCAGGTGGCCCCCTGCTGACCCCAATAGCTGCAGCCACTGCTGCCACCTGGAAAAGGCAACAACTTCTATGGCGTGTTATGCATCGTCTCATTCCAAGCACTGCTACCACCTGTAGAAAACTATGATCACATGGCTAAACAATCAGAGTCGCCTGAACAACTGAGACGATTTCTGAGGTGCCTCAGAAGTCATGATCAGCTATAAGAGCTAGCGAACTTAGGCGCCTTAAAAGTCATCCATTCCCATCGGCTCCACCAGTCTCACAAACTCCCTCCCCCACCAATCTGATCAACTCACGCCTGCCCTTCTCTCACCTGCCCTTCCACTCAACGCGCACGCACACCACAGGGTTCTGCACTCGAAATCCCTCCCACCAGTCCCAACGCAGATATATCCCACTGCGCGTGTGCCTGTGACTGTCACATGCACCTCTCTTTGCCTCTCACGCACACCACAGGGTTCTGCACTCGAACCCCCTCCTCCACCATTCCCTCCATGCTTCAAGGCCCACGTGTGCTTTGTGGGACTTAGCTCTCAAACACGCTCACCTCTCTTTGCCTCTCACGCACACCACGGGGTTCTGCACTCCAACCCCCTCCCCCACCAGTCCCAACGCTAAGACATCCACCGGCTCTTCCTGTTGTGCCTGTGCCTGTGACTGTCACTCTTTATCACCTCTCTTTGCCTCTCACGCACACCACAGGGTTTGGCACTCTAACTCCCTCCTGCACCAGTCCCTCCATGCTTCAACGCCTACCTTGCAGTGTGCTTTGTGGGACTTAGCTCCAAACATGCTCACCTCTCTTTGCCTCTCACGCACACCACGGGGTTCTGCACTCGAACCCCCTCCTCCACCAACCCCAGTGCAAAGATATCCACAGGCTCTTCCCCTTGTGCCTGTGACTGTTGTTGCTGCTGCTGCTGCTGCTGCTGCTGCTGCTGCTGCTGCTGCTGCTGCTGCTGCTGCTGCTGCTGCTGCTGCTGATGCTGATGCTGCTGCTTTTCCTGGTGTTTTTGCTGCTCCTGCCACCGCCGCTGCTGCTGTTTGTGCTCGTGAAGCTGCCCATTCTCCGATTCCTCTTCTTCATGTCCTTCCTCTTGCTTCTCCCAACCCCACCCGCCATCCCCTCCTCCCCCCTCCTTGGAAGTCTCCAGATTCAAAGGAGGTGCAGCGAGTGTAGGGGAGAGCGCATGGGGGAGGAAGAGGCGGAGGGCTGTCAGCAGGTCCTGAAGCTTGTCGATCATAGCAGAGGCTGGAGGGGAGAGGGGAAGGGGAGAGAAGGAGATAGAATGAGGGCACGAAGGAAGGGGTTGGAAGAGGGGAACGGTAAGGCGAAGGAGAGAAGGTAATGTAGCACTGGGCGTTCGAGCCAGAGGGCTGCCAGCAGGTCTTGAAGCCTGTCAATCATAGCAGAGGGTGGGGAGAGAGGGGGGGAAACAATGATAGACGGGAAGACAATGAGAAGAGGGGAAGAGAAGAACGGCTGTCAGCAGGTCCTGAAGCTTGTCGATCATAGCAGAGGGTGGGGAGAGAGGGGGGGAAACAATGATAGACGGGAAGACAATGAGAAGAGGGGAAGAGACGAAGGGCTGTCAGCAGGTCCTGAAGCTTGTCGATCATAGCAGAGGCTGGGGAGAGAGGGGGGGGAAAAAAGATAGACGGGAAGACAATGAGAAGAGGGGAAGAGAAGAAGGGCTGTCAGCAGGTCCTGAAGCTTGTCGATCATAGCAGAGGCTGGGGAGAGAGGGGGGGGAAAAAAGATAGACGGGAAGACAATGAGAAGAGGGGAAGAGACGAAGGGTGGTCAGCAGGTCCTGAAGCTTGTCGATCATAGCAGAGGCTGGGGAGAGAGGGGGGGAAACAATGATAGACGGGAAGACAATGAGAAGAGGGGAAGAGACGAAGGGCTGTCAGAAGGACGGGAAGGACGCACAGCGTCAACACACAGAGACCCACCCACCCGCGCACCCACCCACCTTCACTGTCAATGTCTGGAGGAGGGGCATAGTCATACGGCGTGTCTAGCGCCTCCCTCTCGATCACATCCCCCATGTAGGGAAACACACCAGCCGTGCGGGCTAGATCTGCTCGGCAAATGATGAGATCAAAGGTATGGGGATGGGGCACAGCAGAAAGGCGCATCACTCTCCTCCCAGATGGAAATGGGGGATGGGAGTGGGGGATGGGAAGGTGGGAAGGGAACGGGGGATGAGAATAGGATGAGAATGAGAGATGAAAATGGGAGTTGATAATGGGAGATGATAATGGGAGTTGATAATGGGAGTTGATAATGGGAGATGATAATGGGAGATGATAATGGGAGTTGATAATGGGAGATGAGAATGAGATGAAAATGGGAGTTGATAATGGGAGATGATAATGGGAGTTGATAATGGGAGTTGATAATGGGAGATGAAAATGGGAGTTGATAATGGGAGATGAAAATGGGAGTTGATAATGGGAGATGATAATGGGAGATGATCGCAAATACCGTCCTTACTTGTGGTTTGAGAAATTTCACTGCCACCGACCACCCGTTTCATCCTCCTCACATTTCACACCTATTCATTCGACCCGGAAATTGCTCTTGTGCCTTAAGACACTCAAAACTACCCCACCGCCCTACACCCATTCATCTTACCCGGAAATCGTTCCTGAGCCTCCTCCTTCCATCGCAAGCCCCCCACAGGGGCACTCAGCGGGTGCATCTTCCCAGAAGCTTCCATCTCCTCCCACAGGCGGGCCACTGCCTCAAACTCGGCCTCTGCTGCCTCCTCCTCCTGCTCGCCCTCCTCCCACTCCCACCCTGGGATGTTCTTGTACTCGTTATGGTTGTACTCGTTATGGTATGACTCATTATAATCATGTGGAGAGGACGCGGCTGATTTATCGCTGCGGCTTTTGTCTTGCTCACTTCGAATACCAGTCGCTCTGCTGCTGCGGCTGCTGCTGCTACTGCTATTGCCACTGTCACTCCTGCTGCCAAAATCGAATGTACTATCACTATTCTTGCTATCCCTCTCTATAGGCCCACCTCTTCCTGGCTCGTCCCTTCCGTCCTCTCTCCACCGAACCTGTTCCGAGCCTCCGGCGCCCATTTGGCCGAGAAACGCGGCAAGATCCGGCCGAGCCTGCCCTGAACCTCTGTCATCTGGTTCTTGGCTGAATTCGAGCCTGTTTTGGTTTGGTAGGTTCGGAGACTTATTAGACTCAGTGGGTCTGCTGCCAATACCGGATCTCCTGTCTAGGTTTGGGAAGACGGAGGCTCGAATTTCCTCTTGGCTCGGCATGGATGAATAGTTGATAAAACGAATTTTGGTGGGATCTATCCCCTCCCATCGAGAGGTCCTGACAGATTCTGACGTGGCAGAAGATGATGAGGTGGAGGATGATGACGTGGCAGGTGGAGACGTGGCAGCTGGTGACGTGGCTGATGCTGATGTGGCAGAGTTTCCTGGTAAACGAGCATGAGAAGCAAGATTCCTGACGTCGTTCCCATCCTCAGCAGTATGGCTTTCCGTTTCCGTTTCCGTTTCAGTCGACTCCTTTTTCAACTTCCGTTTCCCCTTCCCTGTCGCCTTCCCTTCTCATTACTCGCCTCCTTACTCTTACTTTTCCTCTCCTCTTTCTCCTCCTTCCTCCCTTCCTTCACCTCTCCCCTATTCTGTGACTCGTTCAGTCCCATCCTTTCCCTCACAGCATCCAATCTCCGACCCTTCTTATCCTCCCCTCTCAGCCCTTTTTCTCTTTCTCCACACCTCTTCTCCTTCTCCCTCTCCTTGGCCTTATCCCCCTTCTTTTTCTTGTCCCTCTTCCTCTCCACATTCCCGGGAATTTCCCCACTGGATGGTTCCCCCGCTCCTTGTACCCCAGCCGCTACAGCTGTCAATTTAGTTAATCTCTTCCAGGAACCCGTAGTTAATCTATTCCGTAGGAGTGTAGAAGGCTCCGCGACAGCCGCAGTTGATCTATGCCATGAACACGTGTATACGTGGCAAGAGGTACAGTGTCGTGTTGCTTGGAAGATCGGAATACGCGCGGCGGAAAAATACGTGAGCGTGGAAGTTTCCATCACTCAACAATAGCGAAGATTCTTAAAAACTGACAGTAGGAGAAGGGCAAAATATAAAAAAGAAAAAGGCAAAACACGAGGCCAGGTGCGCGGAAGGGCGGTGCGTAGTGGAGGAAAGGGCGAACCTACAGCAGCATTCTACAAGAGTACGATTCTTTAGTCGACTTGGAGAAATGCTTCAGCGAGGAGGTGCGTGCGTGCACGAACGGAATAAGCAGTATCGCCGTGTTGTGCTGCTGCAAGCTAGGCCGGCGATGACCGGCAAGCAGTAAGCGCGAGCAGCGGGGAGGCCACTAAAAGAGCATTCTAGCTTGCTCGAGTGAGGTGACTCGAGTGCTCCAAGGAGGTTTCAGGTTTAGGAGATTCTGACATTCTAAACTGCAGGGGATTCTTGAGAATTGCACGAGCGGCTTGGCTTGGGAGGGAATTCGATACCCATTTTCGTCAACCCGTTAGCACCGGTTTTTTGGGTTGCGAAGCAACCCTTTAAGATCGATTTTGACAAATTCTATTTTCATGTTTTCTTAATAAAACATTAAAACAAAATTCGTAAGCTACAGTACCACCCTTCTCATTGTGCATATATTAAACTCATTTTTGGGTTGCAAAGCAAGTGCCTTGGTGAATATATTAGCAGTGTTGGCCTTGGTGGCCACGTAAGCAAGACGAAGCTGACCATGCTGCTGCAACTCTCTCGAGCAAGGAAGTAACGCAAAGCGATGTGCTTCGTTCTGTGCTCCAGTCTGTGCTCCTGACACAAGGCAATCATGGCCTTGTTGTCTACGTACAGAACTGGAGAAGAATGAGGCCGCTCTCCCAAGTCGGTCAGCAGGTAGGTGAGCCAGCGTAACTCCTGTGCAGCCATGGCCCCTATGTAGATCTCAACCTCACAATTGGAACCGAGAACAGAAGACAAGCGGGTAGACCGCCAAGAAACAGAGCTGGAGCCAAGGCTGAAAGTGTAACCCTGTGACGACCGCTGCGCAGCCAAGTCGTCAACCAAGAAGCGTCTGCGTGTCCAGTGAGGACAAATGGACCCCGTCCTCCAAGCACGAGCCCCATGCCCGATGTACTGCACAAGTAGCCCTCTTAGCGGCCTCCCAGTGCTCTGCTCGGTGTCTCCCGGGCGTAACGTAGCGTGCTAGGATGTTAAGAGGGTAGGAAAGGTCAGGTCGAGTGCAGGTCATTAGGTACATGAGGCAGCCCACAAGCTCTGGTAGGCAGAGGAGTGGACAGTGGCGAGGAGTACCGGAAGCCGAAGCGCTGAAGGACCCGGTGCACCATGTGTGACTGAGTCAGGGTGATGGTGCACCGTGCTCTGTCCCGGGTGATCTGCAAGCCAAGATAGCTGCGCAGCTCACCCAGGTCAGTGCAGATGTGTCTCTTCTCCAGCTCCAACTTCACAAGGGCTAGTGCCTCAGTGTCAGCAGTGGCAAAGACCAAGTCGTTGATGTACACTAGGACGTAGAACGGCGGCAGCGAAGTGTCGGTACGCAGAAACAGCGACGGGTCACCAGTCGAAGGAGCAAACCCAAGAGCCACAAGTGTCGTCTTCAGTGTGTCGTGCCACTCGCGAGGCGCCTGGCGGAGACCGTAGACTAGCCGCCGGAGGCTCCACTGGGTACCTGCAGGAAACGACCCAGTAAAGCCACGTGGGCGGCGCAGCAAGATCTCCTCGTGCAGGCTGCCCTGTAAGAAAACTGTGCTAAAGTCAAGAGAGTGAAGCTCGTAGTCACGCTAAGCGGCGATGTGCTGCAGAACCCGAAGAGTGGTCATCTTTGGGGTAGGGGAGAAGGTCTGGAAGAAGTCAACTCCCTGTCGCTGACTGAAGCCTCGTGCAACGTAACGCGCCTTGAAGGCATGCGGAGAACCCGGCGGCCGCTTCACCCTGAAAATCCACATGCCATCGACTATGTTCGCCCCAGAAGGGGGAACTGTGACGACGCAGGTGCCTGTGGACTTCCATGATGCCATCTCTGCGTCCATGGCTGTCTGCCACTGAGAGGAGTAGGGACTCGTAATCGCCTCTGCGTAAGAGCGCGGGGTCGGGATGTCTGGTGCATCCAGGTCTCCCTCATTTGCAAGCAGCATGGCCACGAGATGAGGTACAGTAGCTGCAAGACACTTAAAGTCCTCCTGCCTGTCCTCAAGGACGTCCGTGCCAAGATCACACTCACCCCCGTCAGACAAGTGACAATCAAACTCAAACTCAGCAACAAGACTAGTGGCATAGTCGAGACAACAGGCAGCAGCAAAGTCAACAAGCTCAGCAACTAGGGCAGACGCAGCAGTGGACTCAAACAAAGGGTCAGTGACAACAGTGGCTAGAAGACGAGGGATAGTAGGACTAACAGCATGAGCTAAGTCAGACTCAAGGTCAAGAACGTCAGGAAGAGAGGACGCAGGAGGAGACGGCAGGGGAACTCGCAGTGGAATAGAGGAAGGATGAAGTGCCATAATGTGAGTGCCGAGGACAAGAGGAGGACGCGGACGAGGAACACGACGACCAGTGCGAACAGCGCGAACAGGTGAGGCAGGACAAGACTCAGGCTCACGACGCTCTTTAAGAGAGTCTATCTGCTCACCGTAAGGAGAAGGAGCAAGCAGTGGGGAGTCTGGCTGTAACTGTGGCTGCGACTGGTGAGGCGGTGGACACAGTAAACTAGGAGAAAGGTCAGTAGACAATGGGAGACTAAGAACCTTGCGAAGGACCGAGTCAGGTGGCGGCAGAGACAACGGCTGCGGCGGAACGAAAAACGGGCTCCGCTGCATAGTGCCTCCATCTCCAGGACCGCCAGCTCCAGCATCCCCAACGCCAGCACCTCCAACTCCAGGGTCTCCAGCTCCAGTGCCTCCAGGTCCAGCGCCTCCAGTGCCAGCGCCTCCAGCTCCAGCTCCTCCAGCTCCAGCGCCTCCAGCGCCAGTGCCTCTAGCTCTAGGGTCTCCAGCTCCAGCGCCTCCAGCTCCAGCTCCTCCAGCTCCAGGGTCTCCAGCTCCAGTGCCGCCAGCTCTAGGGTCTCCAGCTCCAGCGCCTCCAACACCACCAGCTCCGGCAGCTCCAGTACCTCTAGTACGAGCACCTCTAGGACCAGCAGCTCCAGCACCTCTGGTACCTCCAGCTCTAGCAGTAACTCCAGCACCTCCAGGACTAGAAGCCCCAGCACCTCCAGCTCCAGTGCCTCCAGCTCAAGCACCTCGACAGGCACAGCCAGGGAGAGTGGGTTGTCCTGAGACACACCTGAGGGAGCAGGACCCTGAGGGGGGAGGGGGTCTACCGGAGGGGGACCTGGAGCAAGGAAGAGCGGCGGGGGGGGGAGAGGGGCAGTGCGGTAGGGGAAGAGACGGTAAAAGGGAACCGACTCGTCAAACGTGACGTCCAAAGAGGGGAGGACACGACGCAAGGTGGGGTGGTGAAACTGCCAGCCAGGCGCGTCAAGGGGAAAGCCAAGGAAGACGCAGGGAATAGCGCGGGAGGAGAGCTTGTCCGCGGAAGTATCGCGAACAAAGGCACGAGAGCCCCAGACCCGGAACACCGACGCATCGCCAACCTTCCCTGTCCAACGCAGTGTAGGCGAGATCTCCAGCAAGGAGACACGGGGCTAGAGGTTGAGCTGATGCGCAGCGTACCGGACCGCAAACGGCCACAGAAAATGGGGAGCAGCCGCATGGATCATGGAGGTACGAGCGACCTCCATGACTAAGCCAATGCGGCGCTCAGCAACCCCATTTTTCTGCGGGGAGGCCGGAAGCGTGAATGACTGGAGAATGCCCTCTCCACGACAAAAGTCCCACAAGAGGTCGGAGGAGAACTCACCACCTCTGTCAGAGTGCAGACGCAGGACAGGAAGGTCCTCACGGAACCGCTCGCGGAGCTGGAGATGGACCGCGCGGATCCAAGGGATCAAGACATCAGGGACCTCACCCTTGCTGCGCAAGGGGAAGACCGTGGTGTAACGCGTGTAGTCGTCAACAACTAGCAGGAAGTAGCGCTCGCCGCCCTGTCCACTGACGCAGGCTGGGCCCCATACGTCCATGTGGAGTGTCTGCAGGGGAGTAGTCGTAGGGGGAAACGAGGAGGAGTGAGGAGCGGCGCGCTGCCGCCCCTCGACGCAAGGAAGGCAGGGCGGGGCAGGCGAGGGCGGGAGGAGAGGCAGTGACCTGGGAAGACCAGAGACAAAGAGGCGGGAGTGCATGCCACGCAGGCGTGGCAGGGAGGGGTGACCAAGGCGGTGGTGCCACAGGAGAGTCTGGTGCGACAGGAGGCAACACGAGGAGGGGGGTGCTACCAGACCTGACGCGGACACATGAGCAGACGCAGCTACCTGAGGAGGCTCAGCAGTCAGTGTGTACAGACTCGACCCACGCCGACGAGTGAATGTGGCCAGGTGACGACATGTTCGTGCACACGTGCAGATCGACACACGCTGACCCCCATGAGTGGTGGTAGTGACCATCGCATCCTGGAGGGCAGCGGTACTCACCAAGTTTGTAGAGAACGAGGGGAGGTGAAGACCTGAGAGTGAGCCGGACGGAACCACCGGACACGGGAGAACAGTGGAGGAACGGGCAAGAACTAGGCCCCTTGAGGGGTCAGCCAGTCTGACTGGAACAGGTGCAGGGAGTGGAGTGAGGGTGGTACTGTCGCGAAAGAAACAGCGGGAAGCACCTGAGTCAAGTGTGAAGGTGTACAAGGCCTCAGCAAGTGCAGTACTAGGGAGAGCAGACTCACTAGCACCTAGAGCAGTAGCCTCTATACCTGGGTCGGGTGGCACACACAGGTAACAGTCACCCTCAGCACTAACAGACAAGGCATACATGGCAGCAATGATAGCATCATAATCAAGAGCAAAGATATCAACTCCAGACCTAAGCAGCTCTAGCCAGCGGGGGCGCTCAGCCTCGTCGCCAAACTCTGCGCGCCAAGCGTCGTCAAGGCGGGAGAAGCAGCGGTGCTGAGTGTAAAACTTCCCGCATGTCTGACCAGTGCGGTCACCTGTGTGAATGACATACGGGCAGCAAACACTACCCCCAGACGCCCCACGCTGAGCAAACCACTCATGAAGCTGCTGGGGCGTAGGGGTCTCGCTCCGACGCTGCTGCTGCTGCCTCTGGCCACCGCCAGAATCTCCCCGCTAAACAACTCCACCCCGTCCGCCACCACTCCCGCCGCCACCACTCCCACTGCCGACACCACCGCCACCCCCACCCCCACCGCTGCCACCACCGCCGCCACCGAAGCCCCCACTCCCGCCACCACTCCCACCGCTGCCACCACCTCCGCCACCTCCACTGCCTCCACTGCCTCCACCACCACCACCCCCGCTGCCTTCGCCACCACTCTTGCCACCCTTGCCCTTGCTGCTCCGGCGCTTCCCACTAAGAGCAGAAGCAGCCCCGACATCGTCAGCACCGAGGATGTCAACAGCAGCAGAAGAAGCGTAGGAGGGGGCAAGGGGGGAGGGGGAACACCCCTCAAAGAAGGGTGTGCGAGGAGTGCCACGAGCAGCACCTACAGCGACTAAGCTAGTCTCACCTGCAAGGAGGTGCTTCTCGAGCAGGTCGACAGTGAGGTCTGTGGGGTCAAGTGCGAGAAATTGGTCCCTGATAGCATGAAGAGAGTCAGGGAGGCGGGTGACTATGAAGTAAAGAGTGATGTACATCGGGGGTGGGTTCCTTTCTAGGAACTCGGCTGGGAGGGCAACGCGGTAGCGAGTGTCGCTAGTGTGAATGTGGGTAACGAGGTCCTCGACTGTGGCAAAGTCCGACAGCTCGGGAAACAGGTAGGGCAGTATAAGGCGGCCAAGAGCAGCAGTGGTAGGGGAAGAGTAACGAGCGACTACAGCGTCGTACAGGGCTTTAGCAGTCTTGTGCTGTCCGAAGTGAGCGCGTTCGGCTAACGGCAGGTGGTTGCGAACGGCTAAGCGAGCAGCGGCATCACAGGTAAGCCACTGTGAGCGAGTCGCACTGTCATCTGTGGCGGGAGGGGCGAGAGAGGCTCCAGACGTGTGGTCAAACAACGAAACGCTGTCTCTAGAATCGCCCAGTAGGTACAGCTGTAAGTCGTCTAGCCACGTATCGAACTGGATCGGACGGCCCTCATGATCGAAGGTGAGAACACTGAGAGAAGCCATAGCGGGCAGAGCAGGGTGGCGCGCGACCAGCAGGGCAGCACGCAGGCAGGGCGGCGCTCGAGCACTAGGGAAGCACGCAGGGCAGGGAGAGGCGGTGCACAACTAGGGAAGTGGCACGCAGCCAATGCAGGGCAGGGCGGCGGCCAGCAGGGCGGCGCGTGGGCAGGGCAGGGCGGTCCGGCTGCCAGCAGGGCGGCGTGCGGGCAGCAGGGCGTCGACCAGCAGGGCGGCGCGCAGCAGGGCGGGCAGCAGCAGGGCGGCGCGGGCAGGGCGGTGTGGGCAGTGGTGCGGCTGCCAGCAGGGCGGCGTGCAAGCAGCAGGGCGCCGGCCGGCAGGGCGGGCAGCAGCCGGGCGGCGCGAGCAGCAGGGCGGTGCGCAGCAGGGCGGTGCGGGCAGCAGGGCGGCTCAGCGCGGGCAGGGCAGGGCGACGCGACAGGCAGCAGCATGGCGACGTGACAGCCAGCAGGGCGACTCGACAGGCAGGGCAGGGCGACACGACAGGGAAGGCATGGCGACGCGACAGGCAGGGCAGGGCGACGCGACTAGTGGGGCAGCGCTATGTGGTGGGCCCTAAATACACGGTCCTGGAATAGGACCTGCTATGAAACCATGTCAGAATACTGAACGAGGATGAATGCATTGAACAGAAAGTTGGTACAAGTACTAACCCTTATTGGGTTGTACCCTTATGGGCCTACACAATGTAAGCATTATAACATTTTGACATTTATCCACCGTACAAACCGCGGAGGGAAACCCAGCTTGGCGATTGTCTCCACCATGAAATCTCTGCGTACTGAGTCGTACGCCTTCTTGAAGTCGATCAGCAGGAGGTACCATTCACTATTCTCATTCCGGGCTGCTTCAATCATGTCTGCCACCATTTACACCACGTCTGTCAACCTTCTTCCAGGTAATAACCCGTACTGCTCATTTGAAATCACCTGGCCTAGCACCGCCTTCATCCGCGTCGCCACCAGTTTTGCCAGAATTTTATACACCTACGATAGGAGCGTGATCGGCCGATAATTCCTGATGTCCGTTTCCGCCCCTTTCTTGTACCCATTAGCACCGGTGATTGATTGCAGAAAAGTTTTGTTTAGGATGTATGGTAGATGCGTAGAAAACATTTGTTTTGATAATTGAAACAGGGCTGCAAATACAGCAGAATACAATGGGAAGAAATGCACAATGAAAGGGCTCATCCCTCTTTGCACGTTCCCACTTCCTGATTTCCACCCAACTTTCCCAGCTTTAACTAAAGTACAGTACCACACAACCTCTTTCCAAAATCAAAGAACCTTATGGCTTCGCAACATCCTTAGTCTCTGCCTGATTTACTCAATCAATATGCTGCTCTCGCAGCTCACTTGGTGCCGCCTAAAAATGCACACTTTATCCCCGTTATAAGGTGTGCCGCAGAACGCTCCACACGGAAAACAATTACAGCTCGAGATTGCTGGACTCCGCAGCAGCTTTGGCAGCAGCCTTCTTGGTCTCCTGCCTTGCCGCCCGCATGGCTTGTATTTCAGCATGCATCTCCCGCTCCCTCGCACCCCGGCTGCCCTGCTCCACCACCCTGCGCTTCCTCGATAGAGACTGCTTGCTGTTAGCACAAGGGGATGGAAGGGAAGGAAAAGGAAAGCTTTAGATCTTGAGATCTCAGCGCGCATCTCCCCTTCCCTCGCTCCCCTACTGCCCTGCTCCACCACCCTCCTCTTCCTCGATAGGGACTGCGTGCTGTTGGGATGGAGAATGGAAGAAAAGGGATCAAGGGAGTACAAGCGAATGCTGTAACGCATCAAACGAAGTGGATAACTGTTTCTAATTCCAGTTGATTGCCCCAAAACACACCTGAAAAAAGAATCGTGCCTGGCATCAAACATACTGAGCATGTGCCTCGCCTTTTAAAACACCTCAAAATTCTCCTCAAGAATCTCAACGCACACATTCCTTACCATTGCTCCCCTTCTTGCCCGCAAAAAAAAAAAAAAAAAAAAAAAAAAAAAAAAAAAAACCCTCAGATGGTGCAAGACAAAATTATCAGATGTTGGGGAAAAGAAACCCAGACTCACATGGTCGGTCCGTGAGTCTCGATCAGCCCTCGCTTTTGAAAGCTCTTGAAGCGGTCACGAACGAGAGTGAAGGAGCCCTGGCAGGGGGGAACGACGGCAAGAGGAGAGGCAAGAAGGAAATGCTCCGTGAGTCTCAATCAGCCCTCTCTTCTGAGAGCTCTTGAAGCACTCATTGATGAGAGTGAAGGAGCCCTGGGGATGACGAGAGAAGAAGGGAACATGGAAAGGAAATGCATGATGAGGAATGAAGACACGAGGGGAGCCTTGGGAAGGAAGAGGCGGAGGCAAAGTGAGGGAGGAGAAATATGCGGAATGGAAGGGGAAGGGAAGAATGAAGAAGAAGAGATATGTGGAAGACCACCACGCAGAATGAAGGGGAAGGGAAGAAAAGGCGTGAGGTAGGATCAAGACAGGAGGCGCGTATTGGGGAGGGGAGAGAAGACCATAAAAAATACATGCTGGCATGCCAGGAATCAATCAAACACACTCAGTACCATGGGTGGGCAAGAGAGAGGAAAAAGATTACCTTAAGTTGCCTGAGCGACCCGGTGACTTGATCTGATGTGAGCACACTCATTGGCTCTGGCTTGAACCTGGTCAGAACCAAAGGGCACGCACACACACAGCACATTCACGGGTATGCGGTGAGGGAATGAGGGTGCACGGTGAGGGAATGAGGGTGCACGGTGAGGGAATGAGGGTGCACGGTGAGGGAATGAGGGTACACGGTGAGGGAATGAGGGTACACGGTGAGGGAATGAGGGTACACGGTGAGGGAATGAGGGTACACGGTGAGGGAATGAGGGTACACGGTGAGGGAATGAGGGTACACGGTTCATGCAAAGGCCTCGCTTGACGTGAACACACTGATTGGCTCTGGCTTGAAAAGGATATTTGCATCCTGCCCAAATAGGACGTTTGTTTGGGCAACCAGGTCAACCAGGTCAACCAAGTCAACCAAGTCAACCAAGTCAACCAAGTCAACCAAGTCAACCAAGTCAACCAGGTCAATCCCTTCCTTCCCTTCCCTTATGCCGTCCCAGTCTCGGTGCCCTCTTCATCCTCAGTTCCACCTGTGCAATCTCCCTCCTCACACGCCTCACACTCCTCCTTCTAGTAAGGTCAATTCAGTCAATTCAGTCAACTAAGTCAATCCACTCACTTGTGTCGTCCCAATCGCGGTGCTCGCTTCATCCTCAGATCCACCCGTGCAATCTCCCTCCTAACACGCCTCTTCTCCGCCTCCTCCCTCTCCTCCTCCAACTCCCTCTGAAGCTCCTTCAACCGGTCTAAATCCTTCCGCATCACCTTCAGTTTCCTCCGCTTTGCCAATTCTGCTTCCACCAATTTGTGCCGCATGCGCCGATTCAAATCCGCCCTGGTGAGACGCTTTGGCACTCTGTGCCTGGTGGTGGTGAGGTGGGGGACGAAGGCAAGAGGGAATGGGTTAACCATCGGATTCGGTTTCCTCCTCCTCATCAGTTCTGCTTCCACCAATTTGTGCCACATCCGCCGGTTCAGATCCGCCCTGGTGAGCCGTTTAGGAACCCATCGCCTTCAGTTTCCTCCTCCTCGTCAAAATCTGGTCTAGTTTTGAGGCGCCTCAAAATGGGTTACCCATCGCCTTCGGTTTCCTCCTCTGCATCAGTTCTGCTTCCACCAATTATGTGCCGCATGCGCCGGTTCAGATCGGCCCTGGTGAGACGTCTAGGAACCCTGAGTCTGGTTGGGGAACGGGGAGGTTGAACGGGAAGAAAGGAAGGTTCAACCCTCTCTATCCACCCTCCTCCGCTTTGTGATAAAAGTGATATTTTGAGACGCCTCAAAATATCACTTTTATCACCTGAGTCTGGTTGGCGAACGGGGAGGGGGAACGGGGAGGGGGAACGGGAAGAAAGGAAGGTTCCACCCTCCTCCGCTTTGCCAACTCTGCTTCCACCAGTCGGTGCCGCATGAGCCGATTCAGATCCGCCCTGGTGAGACGCTTTGGCACCCTGAGTCTGGTGGGGAAGGGCGAGGGGCGGAGGAGGGGGGTAAACGCCTCAGACGTTTGCTCCTGCTGTTTGTCTGTCTGGCACGCATAATCACTGGCTTTGTGACATGATTCTCAGCGAGCAGAGAATTATGTCACAAGACGTTTGCTCCTGCTGTTGGTCTGTCTGGCACGCATAATCACAGAATACACTCGTTTCGGGTTTCAGGTTTAGGAATAAACGCCTTAGAAGTTCGCTCCTGCTGTTTGTCTGGCATGTGCAATGACAGAATGCACTGTAACAAATGAAACATGGAAAATATAGAGTTTAAATGAGGTGTCAAAGTTGAGAAGTAGGTTATGAATGAGGAATAATGAGTACTAGAGTAGAACAAAACGGGAAGAGGTGACTTCTGAGTTGACTCAAAAGATGAGACCTTGAGGAGTGGTACATAATGGGAAAAGGGGAAATAATAATAATAATAAAAGTTGCAATTTTGAAAGGGAGAATAAGGCAGCTTACTTGGTGACAGCAGCAGTGTTGCCATCCTCATCCTCCTCTTCCTCCTCCTCCTCTTCATCTGCCTCTTCTTGAGTCAGAAAGAAATCCTGATGGCACGGAACATATGAGAAGGAGAAAGAGAAGGGAAGGAGGGGCAGGGGCGAAGGAGAGAGAGGGATGGCAGAGAGGCAGGCAGCAACATATTAAAGTGGCTCGAAAGGAGAGGCAAGGGGAAAGGAGAGGCAAGGGGAAAGGAGAGGGAGGGGAGGCCTATACGCAGCAGTAGAGCATTGATAATATTCCTTCCCCACCTCCCCCACTTTCGCCGTACCATCGCCTGCTATACCCACACACCCATCGCACTGTACCTCACTCCACCGCACTCAACCTCACCGTGCTCCCCCCTAACCCCTTCTCACCGCTGCCTCCCGCATCCGTGCTTCCTCCTCCTCTGCGCGCAACACCATCAGCTGCGGCGGCGGTGCCAGCACTACCCACACCACACCACACCCATCTCACCGTACCTCACTTCACCGCACTCCACCTCCTTAAACTCACCGCCGCCTCCTGCATCCGCGCTTCCTCCTCCTCTGCCCGCGACACCATCAGCTGAGGCGGCGTGGGCGCCAGCGCTGCCTGGTAGCTCTCTTTCAGCTCCTCCGCCACTGCCACTGCGATTGCGTCCTGTTGGTTGTTTGGTGCAAGGGAACGAGGAAGGAAACAAGGCACTGGGTGGGGCGTTGGTACCAGCAGCAGCTGCAGCGGAGTGGGTGCCAGTGCTGCCTGCCTGGTAGCTCTCTTTGAGTTCCTCCGCCACTGCCACTGCAATGGTGTCCTGAGGGGGAAAAGAGTGGGGGGGAAAGCAGGGAGACAGGAAAGAGCTCTGCTAAAATGCCAGCAGCTGGGGGGCCACGGGTGCCAGCGCTGCCTGGTAGCTCTCTTTCAATTCCTCCGCCACTGCCACTGCGATGGCGTCCTGTTGGTTGGCGCGAGGGGTGCAGGACAGACCGTGAGTGAAGGCAAGGGGGGAGGGGAAGAGTGAGACGGGCCGTGAGAGCCAGTGCTGCCTGCCTGGTAGCTCTCTTTCAGCTCCTCCGCCACTGCCACTGCGATGGCGTCCTGTTGGTTTGTGCACGAGAGAGAACGAGGGAAGGAGAGAGAAGAGCGCGTGAAGGAACGAGCAGCTGAGGGGGCGTGGGTGCCAGTGCTGCCTGGTAGCTCTCCTTCAACCCCACTGCTGCAAACAAACACTGGTGCTTCCCAGTCAAGAGCAGTGACGTGAAACCTACCTGATGCTCTTCCACAGAGGGGTTAAAGGAGCAGTCAGGAGCGTCAATCTCGACTGCAGGGATCGCTGATCCCTCTAAACTGGTGCTGTCTGGTTAAGAGCGGTGAGATAAGTACCTGATGTTCCTCGACTGAAGGGTTGAAGGAGCAGCCAGGGGTGCCAATCTCAACAGCAGGGATAATTGATGCCACCATACCTCAGCAAACAGTGGTGCTGTGCGGTTAAGAGCGGTGAAACCTACCTGATGCTCTTCCACAGAGGGGTTGAAGGAGCAACCAGGAGTGTCAATCTCAACAGCAGGAATCGAAGACCCCGCTTTGCTCCTGTCCTCCTTGCCTCCTATCATCTTCCCATCGCCCCTCCTCCTCACTCGCTCTCCCACCTCCCCTCCTGCTCCTTCTGATGTTGCCTTGTCGGTGGCGCGAACAGCACGGCGGTTACCAGCTAAGTCTGTTACACACGTTACAGATCAAACAAACACATGCCACAAACAACGGATGGATCAACATTTCACACAGGGCACAGGTGATTTCAGGTATGAGCGACACAGGGAGTTTTTACGCTCGCATTTGAAACCAACGAGCCACGTGTGTGGTAAATTTCAAGTGCGAGCGACTTTTGGGTCAACTCAAACGGCACACATGGCTCGTTGGTTTCAATTCAAATGCGAGCGTAAAAACGCACCCCCAGTGGTGCGTGCAGCACGGGGGGTACCAGCTAGTAGGACTGTTACTCATGGTAACACACAAATGTTACACCAGGCAAAGTGGGTTAGACTTGATAAGGTAAATACGCACACAGCTCTCCCTCCATACGCACACCTCCCCTTCCTCCTCAACTCCCCTTCCCCACCACCCTCCCCCTCCCAACACCCGCCCCTCGATCCCACACCCATCCCTCCTTCCCACACGCGTCCCTCCATCTCACCTTCCTCCGCCCACAGATCGAAAAGCGGTTTCAGAGAGCTCTTCATCGCCTGAAACACCCTAGACCCGCCTTTCCCAGCTCATTTGCACCTCCCGTTCCTCACTCCACCTTCTTATAGTCACACCCCTTCCTCACCTTCCTCCGCCCACAGGTCGAAAAGCGGCTTCTGAGAGTTCTTCCTTGCCTGCCAAAAAAAGCACAACCCAGACCCCACAACTCAGTCAGACAAAAACCGAAACCTCCGTAAAACCCTGCGTTTGGGGAACTCTTTAAACTGTCTACAAGCCCAAACCTTTAGAATCGCGTGAACCCTAGTTTCTACAAACCCCGAAACCCGAAACCCTGAATGTCACACCTTCTTGGCGCGTCTCTTTCCCCCTGCAACCCCTGAATCCGCCGCAACAATTTCTTTCCCGCCAGAGCTCACCCCGGCACTCTGAACTATAGCCATAGGCCCTTCCCCGCTTGCTGCTACGACTATTTCCCCACCGACGCCGTCCTCAATCCCCCCCGCCGCTCCCCCTCCCCCTTTCCCGCCCCCATCTCCTGCAGCTGGCGCTTCCGCGGAAGCCAGACCCTCCGCAGCTGTATCCGCGGGTTTCTCCCAGGGTTTAGCGCTGCTTTTGGGGCGCGCCGGGGAAGAGCGGGTGGGTTCGGGAACGAGCGGCGGAACGAGCGAGCTGCGCTTGAGAATGGCGTCCGCGTGCGACTCGCGTGCGCGCCACTTGTCTACTTTGCGGAGCTTCGGCGCAACTGGCGGGGAAAGGGGGGAGCGGTGGCGGGGGAAAGGGGTTTGGCGCAAGAGAGGGTAGACGGGGAAGAGGGGAGAAAATGTGGGTGGAATCAGGGGAGAAGAGCCGTCGACGAAAGAGCCATTTTCCGCTAAGAAGAATGTCAAGAAGACACCGGCGTGCTTCGAGGTGTCAGGGTTTCGACTTAAGACTCGCCGGGCGCGCCATACCTTTAGACTTATCGACGAAAAATATGTTTTCGCTGGGAACGGCGTCGAGCGCGCCACCGCTGCGCTCCTCGCGGCCCTTCTCCTCGAGGAATTTGTCATGGTCCGCCGTGCTGATGTTCCGCCGCCACTCCTTCTTCCCCTTCCGCGACTTGCGGCTCCGCGCCATTCGTCAACAACTACCGGAGCGTACAAAAACGGGGGAATTACGTTTTTAGGGCGAATCGGGTGCGCTGTTTTTCTAAGGCGACAGGAGAGGCTGCTTGCTGTAGGCTGAAACGACGAGAGTCGCCAAGGGAGATTTGTCACTAGGTTACCAGGAAAGTGTCCCACGATGCTTTCTCTCAGACTCCTAGGGAGCAGAGTGGGAAGGCGGTTGGAGTTCACGAGAGCAAGGTTTATGCAAGGAGACGTTTCATTATGAAACACTTGAGTAGGTTTGGCTGAAACCTCGTAAGAGCAAACTAACTATGTATTTACAGTTCGCGGTGCACTTCAGCTCCGTTTATCGAAGCATCTAGTCCACTACCATAATGGTGATGTCATCATGGTGTGGTGGAGGTAGCGCCAGTCTGTTCACAGTCGTTTCCAGCGGAAAATCTTGAACATAATTGGATAAGCCGTTCGAGCTTCGCATGCATGCACACGTCACCCGCTGTCGCGGGAACACTTTCGTGTGCTCTTCCTCCAAGTTGAGGTCCTCATCCCAGCCGTCCAAATTTCTGACATCCATCTGCAATTCCCTGTCTGCGTTCCTGTACGTTGCAGAACGGTTATTCTGTCCGAACCAAGCAGCAAGCATTTTGCTCGGTTACGGAAACGAACCCAACCAATTGCGCGGTAGCAGCAGCGGATCAATCTGTACCATCCGATCTGTCGGCCTCGATAATCTACAGCACACAGGTGCTTGAATGTTTGACAGCTGCACAGCACACAGCACGACTGTTAGGGAGGGCAAGCCTGTGGCCTACACACCCGCGAGCTCTCCCGCAGACCGTTCAGTCCGGTTCGCCTGGTTTAAACTAGGTACAAAACGGTTGTGATCAACATCGCTTTGGACAGTACCTTACCGAACAAAACCGTGATACGTAGACAGGAAATAAGAGATCTCCGTAAGGGGAACTATGCCAGGAGCAACACTCACCAGACACACACACAAGTTGTTCCTGTAGTTAACTACTGTAATTTTCATTATCGCTTATTAGTGGCTGCTCGTTGTTTCTCTGTTTCTGGTTCTTGCATCGCGACTACAGTTTTACTTTCCCTCCACGCCTCGGGTTTGTAGCTAACTCCGCCTCACTGCACACCATGACCAGACCTACCTGCGAAGCGGCGAGGCTCGAATCGCGATTAGATACACGTGTCGCTAACGTGGCCGTATGGATTCACCCGCCAGTGTGTTGGTAGCTGTCTCGCCGCTGTTCCGATACGCCTCATTCCGCGTAAATCCATAGGTGGTAGTCGCGATTTGGCGATAGATTGATCGTGAGGCTCCTCATCACGTCATCCATAGTAGCCGAATATAAAGACGTCTTTAGGTGGCCTTTGCGAGACATAGGTAGTAAGCAGTCTGGCCATAGGTCGACGTTGAGGCTATTTTTACTAACAGACAGAAATCCACTTGCCCATATATCGTAGTACAATGCGCATATGGCGGGAATTGGGTGTTGCATAGTGCAAGGACCCGTTTTTGCTTCATTATCACACACTCGTAATCTCCACGCCACGATTCTTTGACAGTTTTTTACTAGTTTTTCGATATATTTTCCGTCATGGGTTGGCGTTTAACCGACTTATTCTCCACGTCAGACTCGTCGTCATCCGCCACGTCACGCTCTCAGCAAACCGCCAGCCACGTGTCCTCGTCTTCCTCTGCCGCCCATGTGTCATCCACACCGTCAGCAGTACCATCAGCAGCAGCGCCTGCGGCTCCTGCAGGAGCGGTCGCGGCGCCAGCATCTCGAGACGCCTCGGAAACCGCGTCTCGAGCCGCAGGGCATCGATATGGCGTCGCATTGGGTGGTAACTCTCACATGTCGCGCCTCGACACCGCAGCTGCCGCCGCCGCCGCCGCTCCGCTCGCCACCGCGCCAGGCGCAACGCCCGCCGTGATCGTTCTCGCACCCCCGCAACGCCCCTCCTCTTCCGCCATCTCCCCGCTTCCGCCGTCCGCCTTCGCGCCTTTCGCGCGCGGCGGCGGCCCCGCGGGCGTTCCGCCGCTAGCGCGCCCCGACGCTTCCCCTTCCGCAACTCCCCCTTCCGACGCTGCGGGGGACACGTTCTTCTCCCCGCGAGACTCGTTTTCCTCCGCGCATGGGTTTTCCGCCCGGGAATCTTCCTCCCCTTTTAGTCACCATTCGTTAGACTCCGCCCACCCGTCGAGTCGCGTTTCTAGTGGCCTCCGTGCCGGCCGTTCGCTGCCGTCCTTAGATCCGTCGATCCGGAAACCGCGGAGACCGCACGATCTTCTCTTCCTGGTTCTGTTCGTAGCATGTCTGGTCGGCACGGGATACGCGTCTGTTCGGATCGGTTGTTCGCGGTGGACGATTCCGCCTCCTAGCAATAGTAGCAGTAATAGCGGAGGTGCTAATAGCGGGGCGCAAATTGATCACTCTACGAAGGAGTTCTGGCCGGTTCTGATGGTAGCTGCAGCGGTGGCGCTAGCAGCGGGGACGGTCCTGCTGCAGCTACTATTTTTCTACACGAACATGGCGATTAAAGTGGTAGTGCATGTGCTGACGACGTATATAGCGGTAGTTAGCGTGTTCTGCTTTTGGGATAAGGAGTATTTCTGGGGGATCTTCTTCGCTATTGGCGCTGTGTTGCAATTCGTATACGCCATTGCGGTGGTGGATAGGTGAGTGACTGTACGCGTTGTTATGTGCTACTAACGAGGTGGGTTATAACGAGCATGTGGTTCTTACTCTTGGGGGATCTTCTTCGCTATAGGCGCCATGCTGCAATTCGTATACGCCATCGCGGTGGTGGATAGGTGAGTGACTGTACACGTTGTTATGTGGTATTAACGAGGTGGGTTATAACGAGTGCTAACGAGTTATTCAATAATTATTAGCCTGTTCTGCTTCTGGGATAAAGAGTACTTTCGAGGGATTTTATTTGCTACAGGCGCTGATCCTCTTCGCCCCCTCCCCCTCCCCGCCTCTCCCACCCTGCCCCCCGCGCCCCCCCACCCGCATGCAGAATCGCATACACCATTCGTGCGTAGGGCGCTGGGGTTCGCCCGGGGCTGCCCCCTGCTGATCCTCTTCGCACCCTCTCCCTCCCCCAACCCTCTCCTCCCGCCTCGCCCCCTTCACCTCTCCGCCCAAACCCCCATACACCATGCTGGCTGTGCGTAGAGTTCTGCGATTCGCCCGGGGCTTCTTTCTGTTGCCGCTGATCCTCTTTGTACCCTCCAACCCTCCCCGCCCTTCTCACCCGCCCCCCACCCCGCCTTTCCCCCCACCCCGCCCTTGCCCCCACGCCCTTCCACCCCCATGCAGAATCGCATACACCATGCTGGTTGTGCGGCGAGCGCTAGGATTCGCCCGGGGCTTCCCGCTGCTGATCCTCTTCGCCCACGTGGCAGCACTGCTGCTTGCCACGTGGATGGGCGTCTGGACGTTCGGCGTGTCAGGGATCATGGCGCAGGACCAAGCTAAGCTCGAGCGCTGGTGGATTCTGCTGGTGAGTCCGTTTGAGAGAGGGAAGGGGGGGGTTAGAGGCGCTTATGAGTCGACATGAAAGGCCTCTGGACGTTTGGCGTGTCAGGGATCATGGCGCAGGGCCAAGCTAAGCTGGAGCGCTGGTGGATATTACTGGTGAGAGTTGAGGGGGTAGGGGGGATGGGGGTTTGGAGGGGGAGAGGAAGTTAGGTATCCGTTTGAGTGTCAGGGAGGGTCAGAAGCCCTCGTTTGCGTGTGAGGGATCATGGGTCAGGACCAGGTAAGCTGGAAAGGTGGTGGATTCTGTTGGTAGGGATTGGGATGTAGGGAAGGGATGAGGGAGTGGGAAGGGAAGGAAGAGGGGAAGGGGGACTGTGGATGTCAGCTCATCTCAGTGTCTGGACGTTTGGCGCGTCGGGGAGCATGGCTCAGGACCAAGCGAAGCTGGAGCGATGGTGGATATTACTGGTGAGATGATCTGAGAGAGGGAGAGAGGGGCCTGGGAGGGGGCTAGTGAGGTGATTCAAAGGGCGTGTGGACGTTTTTCGTGTTGGTTGAGAATCATGGCTCAGGTCAGGACCAAGCGAAGCTGTAGCGATGGTGGATATTACTGGTGAGATGAGGTGAGAGACCCTTTGAGAGAGGGGAGGAGGGGGGTTAGGAGGCTTGTGAGGTGATTCAAAGGGCGTGTGGACGTTCGGCGTGTCGGGGATCATGGCTCAGGAAGGACCAAGCGAAGCTCGAGCGATGGTGGTCTGACTGACTCCGGATGTATCCCACCCAACCCAACCCAACCCTCCCGCCCACCCAATCCCCCTCTGCCACGTCAGCTCTTCGCCATGAGCATCTTCTGGACGGCGGCGGTCGTCTGCAACATGGTCCATGTGGTGACAGCTGGCGTGATGTCAGCGTGGTTCGCCGCCAGCTCAGCGGAGCAGAACCCCAGCTCAGCGGCAGCAGGGGAGTCTGTGTCAGCAGCAGAGGAGGGGCGCGGGGGTGCGGCAGTGCCACCTCAGCAGTTCCAGCTGGCACCGGGGCGTGTCACTCTGGAGGCCACGTGGCATGCTCTGATTGGTCTTGGGAGTATCTGCTACGGGTCGCTTTTCAGCCCTCCGATTCACGTGATTCGATGGATGGTGAGGATTGAATGTACGTTGGATTGAGGTGTTTGTTTTTGGGGGGTGTTTCTACTTCTTCATCAACCCTTCCCTTCCTCTTGCACCTTGCACTCTGGTTTACCCCCCCTCTCACTCACTATTCCCATGCACTCTAGATTCGGGGCTTTCTGCTTCATCATCAACCCCACCCGACCCTCAACAGCTTCCTCCTCTCCCCACTCATCCTCCTCCTGCACGCATCCCCACACCTCCAACACTAGATCCAGGGAGTGCGTGCCTGGTGCATCGGCAACGAGTGCTTCTGCTTCATTATCAACCTCGCATTCAACTTCATTGAGGCTCTCCCTCTCCTGTGCCCCATGCCACCTCCTACCCTGCACCCATATCCACACACATCAGATCCGGGGAGTGCGTGCCTGGTGCATCGGCAACGAGTGCTTCTTCTTCATTATCAACCTCGCATTCAACTTCATTGAGGCTCTCACACGGGCCTTCAACGCTTTCGGCTTTGTCACAGTAAGCTCGATTCGATGAGCATGCATCCAATGCAAGGTAAGGCAATCTCAATGCAACCTCGCATTCAACTTCATCGAGGCTCCTCTCACCATGCATTCAACTGGTCTTGTGACATAATTCTTAGCGAGCTGCAAACTTAGTCAGGCTTAAAGCTAAGGATAGACAGTGAAAACCCTCCTGTATTACTTAGATCTCAACAATCCGAGCTCAAGAACTTCAGCAGTAGAGTAAAACAAACATGTTTCAGCCGTTAAGGGGCGACCCTAGCAGGCCTTCATCAGTGCTAATGAAAAACGCAGAGCTAAGCTACGCTTCAAGAAGAAACGAAGCCTCAGAAAACTTATCTCTAGGCTATCTACACCAGGTCAGCCCGAAAAATGGGGACCAATCCGTGTCACCCTTGAAAACTCTCAGGTGGCCACGCCTTCAATCCTTGGGGCGTCTTCGTTGAAGTTCGAATTCGCATCTTCGCCAGGCAGCAACTTTGGAAGTCGCGCGCATACCAGTAACCTGTTAAGGTTACAACCAATTTGCCATGCAACAAACAACCTCTCCACATATAATCCGCGTGTAATGAGTCGTGTTTTGAGTCGACTCAAAACGCAATCTCAATGCAACCTTGCATTCAACTTCATCGAGGCTCCTCTCACCATGCATTCAACGCTTCCGGCTTTGCCACGGGGTGAGTTTGGATCCATTTATGCAAGTTTTGAGACGTCTCAAAACTAAGTTTCTGCACTCCAATCTCAGTGCAACCGTGCGTTGTGTTCAACTTCATTGAAGCTCTCACCTTTTGAGGCACCTCAGAAGTCAAGGCAACTACTTTGAGGCTCTCTCTCTCGCACCTGGGAATGTCTGTCTGTCAGTCATGGTGAGTCATGTCATTGCCTCCACTGACGACCGGTTGCGGCTTTGTCACTTGTCATGATGAGTTGAGGGCAACACTTTCGACCTTCGCTCCCTTCCCCCCCAGCTGGCAATGTACGGCAACAGCCTCAACCACTCATCGGTCGAGGCTTGGAAGCTGTTTCAATCCACAGGAGTCAAAGCAGTGATAGCGTACGACCACTCAGGGGGCGTGCTGCTCATGGCCGTGATGCTGCCGTCCCCCCTTCACTCCCCTCCCCTTGCAGTTGGCAATGTACGGCAACAGCCTCAATCGCTCGTCGGTGGATGCATGGGAGTTGTTCCAATCCACAGGCGTGGAGGCAGAGATAGCATACGACCTCTCAGGCGCTGTGCTGCTCATGGCTCTTCTTCCCCTCCCTCCCTCCCCTCTTCAGCTGGCCATGTACGGGAGGAGCTTCAACCGCTCCTCGGTCGATGCATGGGAGCTCTTCCAATCCACAGGAGTAGAAGCAGTGATAGCATACGACCTCTCAGGCGCTGTGCTGCTCATGGCTGTGATGCTGGCAGCGATGGTGGCCGGGACAGCAGCGGGCGTGTGGGGGTGGTTCGTGGCGCAGGAGTTGGTGGTGGTGATTGGGGCGATGGGAATCGTGACAGGGGCGGCAATGGTGAGTGGTTCTAACTATGTGTGTGGGTGTAAGTTTTTTTGAGGCGCCTCAAAATACACCTCAGGAGCGGCAATGGTGAGTGGTTCTAACTATGTGTGTGGGTGTAAGCCTTTGTGTGTCTGGGCGTAAGTCTGGGCGTGTAGGGGTGGTTCGTGGCGCAAGAGTTGGTGGTGGTGATTGGGGCGATGGGGATCGGCACAGGAGCGGCAATGGTGAGTAGTCCTATCTGTGTGCGTGTAAGTCTGTGTGTTTTCTGGGTGGGGTGGGTTTGGATTGGGAGGAGATCTATGAGATCGAGTGCTGCTCATGGCGGTGATGCTGGCGGCGATGGTGAGTGGTTCCGTCTGTGTGTAAGTCCATGTGTGGGTGGTGATGTGGGTGGTGATGTGGGTGGTTTGTGGCGCAAGAGTTAATGGTGGTGGTTGGAGCGATGGGGATCGTGACAGGAACAGCTATGGTGAGTGGTGGTTAAGTTGGAGGAGGTATGTGAGTGGGATTGAGTGCGGTGGTGATGGTGGCAGGGATGGCAGCGGGTGTGTTCCTCATCGAAACCTGTCCCTATTCCTTCTCCCTTCGCAGGCGGGTGTGGTGCCATCAGTGGTAGAGGAAGCAGTCACAGCATCCTACGTAACAGCAACAAAGAACTCTCAACCCTGGTGTTCTCTCTTCCTGACTTCCCATGCGTATTCTACAGGCTGGTGTGGTGCTATCAGTGGTAGAGGGAGCAGTCACAGCATCCTACGTAACAGCAACAAAGAACTCTCAACCCTGGTGTTCTCTCTTCCTGACTTCCCATGCGTATTCTACAGGCTGGTGTGGTGCTATCAGTGGTAGAGGGAGCAGTCACAGCATCCTACGTCACAGCAACAGGGGACCCCACTTTTATATCTTCTTTCCCTCCACCCACTGTGTGTTGCTTACCCAACCCTCATCTCTCTGTCTCATTGTATTCTACAGGCGGGTGTGGTGCTATCGGTGGTGGAGGGGGCAGTCACAGCAACCTACGTAACAGCAGCAGAGGACCCGACTCTGATTGGCTGCGTCGACGCTGAGTTTGCCGCCCAGCTACTCGACACGCTACACCAGCGGTTACAGCACCGCAGCGGGAAACCGCTGCCACCCAGCCTCGCATCAGATGGTCTTGTTGGGGGGGTGCCGGCAACATGACAAAAACAGCCGCCCACTTACTTACTCCATATGTTACAGCACCGCACTGCACCGCTGAGGCATCTGCTGCTTTCAAACCTAGCAGCAGATAGGGGTGCCGTGCCAGAAGCATAATACCTAGTTTGTTAATTGATAAGATCAAGCACCTGGTTTCGTCACCACCATCGGTTGCACAAATGCAGCAGAAAGCCGCTGTCTGCCAGCCTGGCACCCAATTGGGCAGCTTTGTGAGGTGTTGTTTGGGCAATATGAATGTTCAATATTAAATGCTTCTCTACAAGTGTTACAATTTTTAAAATCCAGTGGTACTGTAGAAAAGGCTCCATATCGGTAATGTAATGGTATGGCGCGCGACAGTCACGTTTAGTGAGAAACGTCAATGACATAAACAACAGATACCGCAAAACGCTACGAAGGGAGAAAGGAAACCCTAAGATTAATAACAAGCGGGAGAAGACGAGGGGGGGAGGGGGGTGGGGGAGTGGCTGGGTCGCGTCCTGAGCGAACCTAATCACCCCGCGGGCGTCAAGGCAGCTTAGAAGAAGACGTTAGGAGGCAGCAACACGCCGTTAGTGCCGTGAACGCACAGCAGAATCAGCTTCGCCGCGGCAATATCTCCCCAAGTAACCACCGCCATCTGCGTCGCGTCGTTCGCGCCAGGCGGAGAGAAAATCACGGTGTTCTTAAGAGCAGACTTCTGCTTCACGAGTTGCACGCCGTAGACCGTGCGGAAGCGCGCTCCGGGCTGCGCGCGGCGGAGGAAGCCGACGGGAAGCTTCTGCAGGATCATGTGGTATTCGAGGAGCTTGATGAGCTTCGAACCGGAGAGCTGCGATTTGACGCGCAGCGGGAGGGTTGCGAACGCGCGATCGGTGGGGACGAGAAGAGTCACCGGCTGGGTCTGCACGTAACGAGCAAGGATCGACTCGAAGCCTGCGGGGAAAAGAGGGGGAGGGGAGGGCGGTGGGGGGGGGGGGGGAGGAGGTTGAAGGGAGGGGAAGAAGAAAACGGTTGGGAAAACGATCAGTTAGTATGACCACAGCAGGAAGAACTAATGATACGAAACCGCGGAAAGCTAACGGTGACAGGGGAGGAAAGAAAACAAAAATAATCCGTATGACCAGATTAATGGGGGAAATGCGGCGTATGGCACGAACTTGTAAACTAGCGGGGGGGTGGTTGCGGAGAGGCGTTGAGCGGGGGAGAAGGGTGGTGCGGAAGAGAAGGGAGGGAATGCGGACGTTGCTGGGAGAGGGGAAGAAAACACCGTACGTGAAACTTTTAGCAGCTTGCGGAAAGTTTTGAGGGAGCCCTGCTTTTGATATCTCTCAAGAGGAACACGCACCGGAGTCTTTGAGCAGCTTGAGGAATGTTTTAAAGGAGCCCTGCTTCCGCAGGGCCTCCTTGGCCGCTGCCAGGTCCGCCGCTCCGTCGGGACGCGCGGAAACGACGGTGAGACACAGCATGAGAGTCAGAGCTACGACGGCAACGAACCGAGCCATTGTGAAACTAACCGAGCTACGAGGACCTTCCTACGGTAGCACGACCAGAATAATTGCAGCGTATACAAAATGCGAAGGATTTGAGAGAGTGCACAAGACGATACTATTCGGAGATGTGAATTTGAAGAGAGGATGTTCAGAGGGGAATACGGAGCGAGGACCACAGCACACCACACAGAGCTAACACACGAGAAGGAATGGCTATGGTTGTTTGTGGGAGTCGGCAGCAGGGTATGGCTGGCTGGCTAGGGGGAGGGGAAGGGGGAGAAAAGTGATGGGGGGGGGGGGAATTTGGTAAGGGAAAAGGGGAAAGGGGGAAGTGGTAAAGCGGGGAGCGGGGAATGGGGGGAACGGAAGAGGGATGGGGATGTACAGTGCAGGTGTACGTGTACGAGCAAGCACTGTGCAGGGGGTTTGGGGGGGTAGCAGCACCAGTGGTCAATCACTACAGAGCACAATAGGCGCAAACAGAATGTGGGCGGGGGAAGGGGGAAAAGGGCTGAGAGGGTGTGCGCGCGCGCTTCTGCTTGGGTGTTGCGTGGGCGGAAGGGTGTTGGCGGGTTTGGAGGGGAAACGGGGGAAGGGTGATGGCGAAGGCGGAGGTTGAGTTTTGGAGCAAGGTGGTGAATGGTCAAGCGGAAAGGAAGGGGAGAGGGGGAATGCGAGCGGGGGAAAGCGAACGCGTTGCCGCATGATTTGCGGAAGTTGATGGTGCAGAGCAGCATGAGTGATGGTAGGTGGGCGAAAGGAGACAAAACACTCGAGTTCTATTTCGGTTGCACCACGGGATCCTCGGGCTCCCTATATTACAGTCGGTGTTTATCTCAGGTTCAGAATCCGTCGAATTTTAAAAGGCGCTTAAGATGGACTAGTACAGTCGAGGTCGCGAGAGGGGAAAAAGGGAACTCAGAAAAACTGTTTCATTGTAATTGCAATTTCAGCCCATCAAAACGTTTTCTCTCCAGAAATATCCCAGCTTCAGCCCGATAGCTCCCAGGTGAAGTTCAGCATGTTGTGACTGCTAATTTGTCGCACCTGGCCTGGCGTACAACATGACTCCAACTGTCAACAGCATTCGAGAGGTTCGTTAGCGAGTCGATGCGTTTCCATAGTCAGGGAACTCGATTGTGAACGTGTTTCCTGGCGTATATTTTCGTTAATGCCACTCCGTTACTCCTTACTCCATTTGTAGAATAAGGCCACTCCCGAAGTAAACCTGTAATCACGAATACACAAGCCTTTTTGTCAAAGAATTACAAATTTAGGAACACAATTGGTATGTGTGCTATGGCCGTTACCAACCACTTCAACTGTTCATCGTACCATAAACACACACAGTTCATCATATCATTCCCAACCAACATCACAAGGTAAAAATAACCATTGAGGCACACCTAATCTCGAAACATCAGCCATGAAGGCTCATTATCAGGACTGACATTTCGTTTCAGGCCTCCCTGATTCCCAGAAAAAAATTCCCCCTCAATTATGATCGCACATTTTTCACAGGGAAGCTACCCTGATAGCTCAGTGTCGAACAAAGTCCTAGCCTGATCCGTCAGGGTTCACAGCTCAAAATCAGGGTTGCTATTAACATTGCACTACACTTCAAAATGAACTTTCCTACACTATCTAGTGCACGGGTTTGTCAATGAAGTACACCTCCTCTATGTCCTCATCGTCTGACAGGTAAGGGTTGTCCTCCTCTTCCACGACCTCCTGATCGTCGGCCAAGTCCTGTTCCACTTCATCGTCCTCCTCCTCCTCCTCCTCCTCCTCCTCCTCCTCCTCCTCCTCCTCCTCCTCCTCCTCCTCCTCCTCCTCCTCCTCCTCCTCCTCCTCCTCCTCCTCCTCCTCCTCCTCCTCCTCGTCCTCGTTCTCCCCCGCAGTTCCAGCAGCCACAGCTTCACCCTCCTTCTGCTTCCCCTTCCTCTCCCTCTCTGCCACGGCCAGCTTCAGGCTCTTCACAGGGCGCCTCCTCCGCATGGACCTCCACACCTCCAGTGCCTCCGGCCATTCGATCTCGTACTTCAGGAGCGATATCTGCATCAGCTCCCCCAGACGCGCGTTGCAGAGCGCTCCACGCACCCAGGACTTGATGATGTTCTGCCTGGAGAACCCCCTCTCGCACTCCACGGTGGAGAGGGGAAGCACAGCCAGCGCCTGCCACAGCAGGATGAGGTTGGGCCATCTCCTGCCAGGCACATTCGAAGCACAACAAAACATGTAAAAGTATCAACTTAATAAATCAACAAGTTGGAATTCAACATGTTAATAATCACCAACATAAAAATCAAATAGGTAAAAAACTTGTAAGCATGCAGTGGCCTACCTCTTTGAGTCTACGCTCCCAAGAAAGTTGTTAAGGCCCTGGGCGAAGCTCTCCATCTCATGGTGTGACTCCATGATCGCGCAGAATGTCGGGAGCTCCCTCTCTGCTGCTTTGAGGTCGAATCCCGGCAGCTTGTGGCGGAAGAGCCTGCTGCATCCGTGCAGCCACTCCTTGCACTTCTTCTCTCGCTGGGCCTTGATCTTCGGCCACTTCCCCGCCCGGAACAGCTTCGTCGGGCCCAGCTTCCCAAGGTCATCCAGCCGTTCGTTCAGGTTGTCCACGCAGTCGCGGGCAAATTGGCGGCACAGCTTCACGCAGTCTGCGTAGGTGCTTCCCTGCTTGTGGCCCTTCAGCTTCCTCTCATGCATGGTGTAGAGGTGGTTGATTGGGCGTCCCTCTCCGTCCACGCCTCAAACCCGGACCTGCTTGCCTCCACCCTCCTTGTGGACCTTGAGGAAGTTTACCAGCCAGCTCTTCCCCTCGCCCCCGAACGGTTTGTTTGTCGTCAAGTAGCGCTCCGTCAGGTCACCCGTGGTGGACTCAATAGTCTTCGAAATCTCAGTCACATCCAGCTGTCACACATGCAATCAACAACAGGGAGTAGGATTAGCAAAAGTGTAAGATTACACTTCCCATCTCAACATTATACTAGCATTCAATCTCACCTCACGCCTCTGGAAGCAGCGGTTGAGGTCGTTCATGTCGGCCAGAATGTCGGCCAGGAAAAACAAACAGAACTGGAACTTGTAGCACGTCACAATCTCGTAGGCCTTGTGGTTGTGCTCCCAGAGCAGCACGATGCAAGCGCCGAGGACCTTGCACAACCTTCGCACCGCATCACCTCGTGACAGCCATCGAACCGTGTGGATTCCTTGGACCTCGAGGTTTGTCTGGTAGATCACTCGCTGAAGGTACTTGAAGCGCTGACTCCACACGCTTGAGTTTCCGAGAAGCGTCGCCACTGTGCGCACCACCTTGTCAACCATGCCAAGGTCCTCGTTTGACTCAGCGGCGTCCTTCACAGCCAACGCCTCACTGTAGGATGCAGGGAATACAAATCAAGAGGTAATTGGTTAATCTTATACGTAGAAAACCACACCAACTAGGAAACTTGATACACACCGGTGGGCGATGCAGTGGCATGAAAACAGGTGCGGAACGTGTTCCCGAAGACGCGCCACCAATCCGTTTTCTTTCCCGGTCATGACCGACGCCCCATCCGTGCTGATGCCGACGATCTTGGACACATCGACGGCTGCGGAGCGGAGATGGTTCAGAAGCACCTCGAACAGAGACCCTGCATCACACCGCTCAACCGTCAGCAATGTAAAGAACTCGCATGCGATTTGGCGATTCTTAAAAAACGTAAGGTACACAATCATGTGTTTCCCTCGCGTTCGGTCTGTGCTCTCGTCGCATTGAATGCCTAGGAAGGGGGATGCCAGGATGTGGTCCATCTGGACCCGAGTGAGGTATGTACTGATGCTGTGAACCATTTGTTGGAACCCGTATCTGCACAGAGGAGAATAAAATGGTCAGGATCGTGATAAAAAAACCATACTTCACATATGTCCAGCTGCAATCTAACGCTTAAATACCGTGTCAGATACACGCCGTAAGATTGTCGAGGAATGTCTGGCGTGTCCTGCTCCGCAAGATGCCGCATCAGCTTCGGAAACATGCTAATCGGCGCGTCGCACTGGCACAGGAACTGCGTAGACCGCATGAGACGAATCGCGCGCCGCCCCTCGACGTCGGAGTTGATGAAGTCAAAAATTGCCTGCTGGCCCTCGCGGATGCCCGCCGCAAGCTTCAACTGCCGATCCACCGCCGCCTTGTGTGCGTCCGTATGCTCGTGCGCCCTGAACGACTGCGTCTGCAAGTCACGGCCACCGTTGTCACCTTGCATGGCGTACCTCGTGTTCCCCTTCGCGTACGACATGCAGATGGAGCACTTCACGTATGGAAAACCGTCCTTGGTCTTCCCAAACACCAGCCAGGAAAAGTGTTGCGACCACTTCGTCTCGTAGTTAATACTCGCCTCAAGGTACACCTGATCTCGCAGCTGCATCTTGGTGAGTGCGGGCGAGCCGGTATCCGCGCGCACAGGGATGTCAACTTCCTCCGGTTGCTCAGCTTCTTTGTCATTGTCAGGCGGTGGAATACGGCGGCCTCCGACGACCAGAGTACTCTGCGCCCACTTCCCATTTCGCGCTCGCTTGGGAGTGGAAGAAGCCGACGGCGGGCCAACAGACACACGCACCGTGCTTGGAGTGGGGCTAGACGATGGCGGTGGGGGATCTTTGCTGCAAGAAGCAACAGCCGGGGGTAGAGTGAAGGCGACAGGATGTGGAGAATCAGAAGGAGTAGGGGTTACTCTAGCAGCAGAGTCATGAACCGTAGACCTAGGAGGTTCTGGTGTCACCGGAGCACCGGAAGCTCTAAGAAAATCGAGCCCAGACCGGGGATCATCTGATGCTTTCTCCGGCAAGGCTTGCGCTGTCGGTTTCGCCTGTAAAGGTGGCTCGTCAGGGCCAGTCTGAGGAGCATCTTCGTCGGCCGGCAGGGCCTCCATGGCGGCGAGCTAGGGGAAAGATGGAGCGAGAGGAAAGTGTGATACTGAACGAAAAACGGGAAGCGAAGGAAGCCTGGCTCTGGGTAGGGGGAAGGAAAGGAAGGTTGGAGATGACGGGGTCATCACGAAACCACCGCGGCGCGATGCCACAAGTTTGATGGCAACATTCGTCAATGAATTCGGCCGTAGATGCAAGGCCGAATTCATTCAAGGACTGCTTAGCTGCCAGCGCATACTGTCAACATGCCGTTCTGGCGAATGGCAGAGGCATGCTGTGCACTGCGAGGTGCGCGTGGCAGCAATGTATCATAGATTTGGGTGCGTTGTCACTGTTGACAGCTGTCTTTACAGCACGGTGTTGGAATTCGGTGTCGTTATTACGTCAGTCCAGTGCGTGAACGGGGTACCTCACATGGGGCCACGCGAAGTAATGATTACGCAGAGGGGGGGGGGGTTATCGAAAGGAAACTTCGAGGAACCTTCGTCCCGATACCCTCGCATTCAGGGTCCACCGAACGCATACTCTGCATAGACATAGTCCGCAAGTACACTACTCTGAGACTAGTTATAAGATTTCAGGGTTCGATAAGTAACTTTTCTGATTGGATCAGAGTTCACAAGTTAAAAAAACTGAAATTGCAGGGCCCAGCAGTTGAGAAGCCTGTAATCACCCTGAAATCAGGGTAATTACCCTGATAAAATCAGCCCTGCTCATGATGCAAAACCAGAATGATTACATTTGTACACACAGCTCGACGCTGTAAGCTGTACTAAAAAGGTCCCATTACGTCCGCCCTACATACTTCAGTCTTCGGCATTAATGTACACTCCTCTAAGCAGCTCTTCTGCCAGCTCCGTTTCTGCCGATACCGAATCGGTGGGTTGTAGTGGCGTCAGAGGAGCAAAGGCAGAAGGCACCTGTGGAAAGGTAAGGACAGGCAGAAGAAAGAGAGGGCAAAAGGTTGAGTTGAGAGAGAGCACATTTATTGTGAGCTCTTTCTCTGCCGATACCGAATCAGTGGGTTGTAGTGCCGTAAGAAGGCACCCTTTGGATGGTAGAGACAGGCAGAGGGAGAGGTCATGACGCCATGACTACTATTCCTTTCAGTAAGTTGCCTGCTGGGGTTCTTGGTCTGCTAACCGGAGAAATGGAGTGGCGTTAGAGGAAGCAGTTAGCAGCTGCAGTCGCAACTGCCATGACGACTATTCCCATTAGAAAGTTACCTGCAATCACCTGGAATCACCTGCTGGGGTGCCTGGTTTGCTTACCAGAGAGATGGAGTGGCGGGAGAGGAAGAAGACAGCAGCTGCAGTCGCTATCACCATGACGATTATTCCCGCTATGATTCCGCTCCAGAAGCGGTAACCAGTCAGTCGAGGTGGGAGGGGACCTGTGGGTGGCAGAACAGTTGCAAGGAAGGATCAGTTGGTTGCGTAACGACTTGGTAGAACCTGGATTGGGTAGAAATTGTTTTTTTTTTTTGTGCCTCAAAAATTGCAAGGAAGGATCAGTTGGTTGCGTAACGACTTAGCAGAACCTGGATTGGGTAGAAGTTGTTTTTTTTTTTTTTTTTTTATGTGCCTCAAAAATTGCAAGGAAGGATCAGTTGGTTGCGTAACGGCTTAGTATAACTTGGATTGGGTAGAAATTGTTTTATTTTATGTGCCTCAAAAATTGCAAGGAAGGATCAGTTGGTTGCGTAACGGCTTAGTAAAACCTTGCTTCATACTGTAGCAAAGAGTTAGAATGACTCGAGCTCCAGAAGCGGTACTCACCAGTACTGATTGGCACTGACCCCTACTGATTGGCACTGACCCCTACTGATTGGCACTGACCCCTACTGACTGGTACTGACCCCTACTGACTGGTACTGACTGGTAATGAGTGATGCTGAGTGGTACTGACCGGTATAGGAGCGGAGTGTGGGGCTGAGAGGGTTGCGGAAGTCAACCCACACAAAGGCAAAGTCTGAAAGATGGCATGGTGTGATGTGGTGTGTTGTGGCGTGATGTGGTGCAGAGTGGTGTAGCGTGGTAGTATGGCATGGCATGGAACAGAACACATGAAAATCAGTGGGTGAGAAGAAGGGCTTAAAAAAAAAGGGTGATGAGTGTATTATGTGCACTCATCCGCCTTGCTAGAATGAGAAAGAACAAAAACAAAGAAAAAGAAGAATTAAAGAAGATGCAGTGTACTGTGCTGTGTGCACTCTCTGAAGTGCCCCCAAAACGATTTTTGTAGTTTTTTAGTATATTTCTGTGTCGTTTAAACAAAACTATTTCTGGCTTGACTCAAAGAACACGGGTAGGGTAGTACATCACGTGTATTAGTGTAGGGAAACCACTCTTTGAACGTTTGAGCGGGTTCCTTCCTCACTCAATATTAGGCATCTCACTAACGCCTTCCCATGTTTTGAGACGTCTCAAAACTGGGTTCCTTCCTCACTCAATATTAGGCATCTCACTAACGCCTTCCCTTGTTTTGAGACGTCTCAAAACTGGGTTCCTTCCTCACTCAATATTAGGCATATCACTAACGCCTTCCCTTGTTTTGAGACGTCTCAAAACTGGGTTCCTTCCTCACTCAATATTAGGCATCTCACTAACGCCTTCCCTTGTTTTGAGACGTCTCAAAACTGGGTTCCTTCCTCACTCAATATTAGGCATCTCACTAACGCCTTCCATGTTTTGAGACGTCTCAAAACTGGGTTCCTTCCTCACTCAATATTAGGCATCTCACTAACGCCTTCCCATGCAAAGCATACCTGTATCGATGTAGGGAAACGTCTCCTTGAACATCTCAGCGGGTTCCTTCACGAGCCGATGCCCCTCCACCAGCATCGACCCCTGTGCCGTGAAGTTGTAGGAGAGGAAGGTGTGGCGCGCGTACCGCCTGTTGCTGTCGTCCCTCCCCATCACTTGCAGCAATAGGATACCATCCCTATGGTGAGAAGCAGAGAAACAAGGAGAGGGACGGAAGTGAGGAGGTGAAGTTGTAGGAGAGGAAGGCGTGGCACGCGTAGCGCCTGTTGCTGTCATTCCGCCCCATCACTTGGAGTAGAAGGATGCCATCCCTGCAATAAACAAGGAGAGAGAGGGAAGCGCGGAGGTGAAGTTGTACGAGAGGAAGGCGTGCCGAGCATAGTGCCTTTTGCTGTCGTCCCGCCCCATCACTTGAAGTAGAAGGATGCCATCTGTGGGGAGAAAAACAGAGAAGATAGGAGAATGAGGGCGTGGCAAGGGATTGAGGAGATGAAGTTGTAAGAGAGGAAGGCGTGGCATGCGTAGTGCCTGTTGCTGTCGTCCCACCCCATCACTTGCAACAGAAGGATGCCGTCCCTGGGGAGAAAAACAGAGAAGATTGGAGAATGAGGGCGTGGCAAGGGATAGAGGGGATGAAGTTGTAGGAGAGGAAGGCGTGGCGCGCGTACCGCCTGTTGCTGTCGTCCCGCCCCATCACTTGGAGTAGGAGGATGCCGTCTCTTTAGGGAATACAGAGAGAACAGAGAATGAGAGTGTGGGCAGGGAGGTGAGAAGATGAAGTTGCAGGAGAGGAAGGCGTGGCACGTATAGCGCCTGTTGCTGTCGCCCCGGCCCATCACTTGAAGTAGTAAGATGCCGTCCCTATGAAAAAAAAAAAAAAGGAGAGGGAAGAGGGAAGCGAGGAGATGAAGCTGTAAGAGAGGAAGGTGCAGCGCGCGTAACGTCTGTTGCTGTCATTTCTCCCCATCACTTAAGTAGTAAGATGCCGTCCCTGGGGAGAGAAACAAGGAGAGGGAGGTAAGCGAGGAGATGAAGTTGTACGAGAGGAAGGCGTTGGGTGTGTACCGCCTGTTGCTTTCACCTAGCCACCTTATTCACTCCTTTCCACCGTTCTACACACCTTCACTTCACCTTCCGACTCACTTGTGAGTCTTGTGCTCGTTGTTAATGCTGATCTCGTACATCCCAAGGCCCAACCTCCTGCAGGAGAACATTCCTGAGCCACGCACCACTGCCCCATCCGCTGCTATCGTGGCTCCTATCAGCCTAAGAGGAGGGAGGGCAAAGGTGGGAAGAGAGGGGAGAGAAGATAGGATGTAGGCAGCAACAGCGTGTGATAGAGTGTAGAAAGAGCCCCTGGACGGCAGCAAACATGCATGCTTATGGTGGTTGAAGTCATAAGCATGTATGTTTGTATGTCTCCTCACACCTGCTGCTGCTGTTGAGCCCCTGGACGGCAGCAGACATGCATGCTCATGGTGGTTGAAGGCGGGGAGAGGAGAGAAGTAAGGGTGTAGGCATCAACAGCAGCAGCAGCAGGTGTGATGGAGTATGGGCCGAGCCGAGCCCTGGGGCAGCATGTGAAAAAAGAGTGTTTTTGCGACGTCTCAAAACCACTCTTATTCCACGTAGCAGCAGCAGGTGTGATGGAGTAAAGGCCAAGCCCTGGGGCAGCATCGGACGAACATGCTTACCCCAAGGCAGTGAAAGGGGTGTTAGGACATATCATGTCAGTCAGGGATGCCATGCCAGTCAGTAAGAAATCCAAACCTGTGCTCCTGACTGACTCCTGACTGACTCGCAATGTGGCACAAGGAGCACAAATCGTCGGAGAGAGCGAGCAAGGTATGGTAGGTTTTGTTACAAATCCCGCGTGGTATGGTATGGTATGGTATGGTATGGTATGCAGAGGTTCTAGATTATCCCATGGCAGTGAAGAGTATGTAGAGGAATGCGAATATGTGCTCCTGGCTCTCCACTCCACTGTTACTGCTGTGGTACCAGCACAGCAGAAAATGCAGGTAGATAGAAGAAACAGGGGGCCAGCTGACAGGTCCTTACCCAGTGGCAGAGAAGGGGACGTAGAGGAATGCGAACATGTGCTCCTGACTCTCCACCAGCTCTGTCACGTCTCCAAACGCGTCCTCGCGTGCTTGAATGCGCCACCCGCGGCCGCTGGGAGTTGAGGGCGGGAAGAGGGGCACAGCAGGTGAGCGAGGAGGGGACAAATAGGCAAGCAAGTAATGTCCTGTGCTCCTGACTCTCCACCAGCTCTGTCACGTCTCCAAACGCGTCCTCGCGTGCTTGAATGCGCCACCCGCGGCCGCTGGGAGTTGAGGGCGGGAAGAGGGGCACAGCAGGTGAGCGAGGAGGGGACAAATAGGCAAGCAAGTAATGTCCTGTGCTCCTGACTCTCCACCAGCTCTGTCACGTCTCCAAACGCGTCCTCGCGTGCTTGAATGCGCCACCCGCGGCCGCTGGGAGTTGAGGGCGGGAAGAGGGGCACAGCAGGTGAGCGAGGAGGGGACAAATAGGCAAGCAAGTAATGTCCTGTGCTCCTGACTCTCCACCAGCTCTGTCACGTCTCCAAACGCGTCCTCGCGTGCTTGAATGCGCCACCCGCGGCCGCTGGGAGTTGAGGGCGGGAAGAGGGGCACAGCAGGTGAGCGAGGAGGGGACAAATAGGCAAGCAAGTAATGTCCTGTGCTCCTGACTCTCCACCAGCTCTGTCACGTCTCCAAACGCGTCCTCGCGTGCTTGAATGCGCCACCCGCGGCCGCTGGGAGTTGAGGGCGGGAAGAGGGGCACAGCAGGTGAGCGAGGAGGGGACAAATAGGCAAGCAAGTAATGTCCTGTGCTCCTGACTCTCCACCAGCTCTGTCACGTCTCCAAACGCGTCCTCGCGTGCTTGAATGCGCCACCCGCGGCCGCTGGGAGTTGAGGGCGGGAAGAGGGGCACAGCAGGTGAGCGAGGAGGGGACAAATAGGCAAGCAAGTAATGTCCTGTGCTCCTGACTCTCCACCAGCTCTGTCACGTCTCCAAACGCGTCCTCGCGTGCTTGAATGCGCCACCCGCGGCCGCTGGGAGTTGAGGGCGGGAAGAGGGGCACAGCAGGTGAGCGAGGAGGGGACAAATAGGCAAGCAAGTAATGTCCTGTGCTCCTGACTCTCCACCAGCTCTGTCACGTCTCCAAACGCGTCCTCGCGTGCTTGAATGCGCCACCCGCGGCCGCTGGGAGTTGAGGGCGGGAAGAGGGGCACAGCAGGTGAGCGAGGAGGGGACAAATAGGCAAGCAAGTAATGTCCTGTGCTCCTGACTCTCCACCAGCTCTGTCACGTCTCCAAACGCGTCCTCGCGTGCTTGAATGCGCCACCCGCGGCCGCTGGGAGTTGAGGGCGGGAAGAGGGGCACAGCAGGTGAGCGAGGAGGGGACAAATAGGCAAGCAAGTAATGTCCTGTGCTCCTGACTCTCCACCAGCTCTGTCACGTCTCCAAACGCGTCCTCGCGTGCTTGAATGCGCCACCCGCGGCCGCTGGGAGTTGAGGGCGGGAAGAGGGGCACAGCAGGTGAGCGAGGAGGGGACAAATAGGCAAGCAAGTAATGTCCTGTGCTCCTGACTCTCCACCAGCTCTGTCACGTCTCCAAACGCGTCCTCGCGTGCTTGAATGCGCCACCCGCGGCCGCTGGGAGTTGAGGGCGGGAAGAGGGGCACAGCAGGTGAGCGAGGAGGGGACAAATAGGCAAGCAAGTAATGTCCTGTGCTCCTGACTCTCCACCAGCTCTGTCACGTCTCCAAACGCGTCCTCGCGTGCTTGAATGCGCCACCCGCGGCCGCTGGGAGTTGAGGGCGGGAAGAGGGGCACAGCAGGTGAGCGAGGAGGGGACAAATAGGCAAGCAAGTAATGTCCTGTGCTCCTGACTCTCCACCAGCTCTGTCACGTCTCCAAACGCGTCCTCGCGTGCTTGAATGCGCCACCCGCGGCCGCTGGGAGTTGAGGGCGGGAAGAGGGGCACAGCAGGTGAGCGAGGAGGGGACAAATAGGCAAGCAAGTAATGTCCTGTGCTCCTGACTCTCCACCAGCTCTGTCACGTCTCCAAACGCGTCCTCGCGTGCTTGAATGCGCCACCCGCGGCCGCTGGGAGTTGAGGGCGGGAAGAGGGGCACAGCAGGTGAGCGAGGAGGGGACAAATAGGCAAGCAAGTAATGTCCTGTGCTCCTGACTCTCCACCAGCTCTGTCACGTCTCCAAACGCGTCCTCGCGTGCTTGAATGCGCCACCCGCGGCCGCTGGGAGTTGAGGGCGGGAAGAGGGGCACAGCAGGTGAGCGAGGAGGGGACAAATAGGCAAGCAAGTAATGTCCTGTGCTCCTGACTCTCCACCAGCTCTGTCACGTCTCCAAACGCGTCCTCGCGTGCTTGAATGCGCCACCCGCGGCCGCTGGGAGTTGAGGGCGGGAAGAGGGGCACAGCAGGTGAGCGAGGAGGGGACAAATAGGCAAGCAAGTAATGTCCTGTGCTCCTGACTCTCCACCAGCTCTGTCACGTCTCCAAACGCGTCCTCGCGTGCTTGAATGCGCCACCCGCGGCCGCTGGGAGTTGAGGGCGGGAAGAGGGGCACAGCAGGTGAGCGAGGAGGGGACAAATAGGCAAGCAAGTAATGTCCTGTGCTCCTGACTCTCCACCAGCTCTGTCACGTCTCCAAACGCGTCCTCGCGTGCTTGAATGCGCCACCCGCGGCCGCTGGGAGTTGAGGGCGGGAAGAGGGGCACAGCAGGTGAGCGAGGAGGGGACAAATAGGCAAGCAAGTAATGTCCTGTGCTCCTGACTCTCCACCAGCTCTGTCACGTCTCCAAACGCGTCCTCGCGTGCTTGAATGCGCCACCCGCGGCCGCTGGGAGTTGAGGGCGGGAAGAGGGGCACAGCAGGTGAGCGAGGAGGGGACAAATAGGCAAGCAAGTAATGTCCTGTGCTCCTGACTCTCCACCAGCTCTGTCACGTCTCCAAACGCGTCCTCGCGTGCTTGAATGCGCCACCCGCGGCCGCTGGGAGTTGAGGGCGGGAAGAGGGGCACAGCAGGTGAGCGAGGAGGGGACAAATAGGCAAGCAAGTAATGTCCTGTGCTCCTGACTCTCCACCAGCTCTGTCACGTCTCCAAACGCGTCCTCGCGTGCTTGAATGCGCCACCCGCGGCCGCTGGGAGTTGAGGGCGGGAAGAGGGGCACAGCAGGTGAGCGAGGAGGGGACAAATAGGCAAGCAAGTAATGTCCTGTGCTCCTGACTCTCCACCAGCTCTGTCACGTCTCCAAACGCGTCCTCGCGTGCTTGAATGCGCCACCCGCGGCCGCTGGGAGTTGAGGGCGGGAAGAGGGGCACAGCAGGTGAGCGAGGAGGGGACAAATAGGCAAGCAAGTAATGTCCTGTGCTCCTGACTCTCCACCAGCTCTGTCACGTCTCCAAACGCGTCCTCGCGTGCTTGAATGCGCCACCCGCGGCCGCTGGGAGTTGAGGGCGGGAAGAGGGGCACAGCAGGTGAGCGAGGAGGGGACAAATAGGCAAGCAAGTAATGTCCTGTGCTCCTGACTCTCCACCAGCTCTGTCACGTCTCCAAACGCGTCCTCGCGTGCTTGAATGCGCCACCCGCGGCCGCTGGGAGTTGAGGGCGGGAAGAGGGGCACAGCAGGTGAGCGAGGAGGGGACAAATAGGCAAGCAAGTAATGTCCTGTGCTCCTGACTCTCCACCAGCTCTGTCACGTCTCCAAACGCGTCCTCGCGTGCTTGAATGCGCCACCCGCGGCCGCTGGGAGTTGAGGGCGGGAAGAGGGGCACAGCAGGTGAGCGAGGAGGGGACAAATAGGCAAGCAAGTAATGTCCTGTGCTCCTGACTCTCCACCAGCTCTGTCACGTCTCCAAACGCGTCCTCGCGTGCTTGAATGCGCCACCCGCGGCCGCTGGGAGTTGAGGGCGGGAAGAGGGGCACAGCAGGTGAGCGAGGAGGGGACAAATAGGCAAGCAAGTAATGTCCTGTGCTCCTGACTCTCCACCAGCTCTGTCACGTCTCCAAACGCGTCCTCGCGTGCTTGAATGCGCCACCCGCGGCCGCTGGGAGTTGAGGGCGGGAAGAGGGGCACAGCAGGTGAGCGAGGAGGGGACAAATAGGCAAGCAAGTAATGTCCTGTGCTCCTGACTCTCCACCAGCTCTGTCACGTCTCCAAACGCGTCCTCGCGTGCTTGAATGCGCCACCCGCGGCCGCTGGGAGTTGAGGGCGGGAAGAGGGGCACAGCAGGTGAGCGAGGAGGGGACAAATAGGCAAGCAAGTAATGTCCTGTGCTCCTGACTCTCCACCAGCTCTGTCACGTCTCCAAACGCGTCCTCGCGTGCTTGAATGCGCCACCCGCGGCCGCTGGGAGTTGAGGGCGGGAAGAGGGGCACAGCAGGTGAGCGAGGAGGGGACAAATAGGCAAGCAAGTAATGTCCTGTGCTCCTGACTCTCCACCAGCTCTGTCACGTCTCCAAACGCGTCCTCGCGTGCTTGAATGCGCCACCCGCGGCCGCTGGGAGTTGAGGGCGGGAAGAGGGGCACAGCAGGTGAGCGAGGAGGGGACAAATAGGCAAGCAAGTAATGTCCTGTGCTCCTGACTCTCCACCAGCTCTGTCACGTCTCCAAACGCGTCCTCGCGTGCTTGAATGCGCCACCCGCGGCCGCTGGGAGTTGAGGGCGGGAAGAGGGGCACAGCAGGTGAGCGAGGAGGGGACAAATAGGCAAGCAAGTAATGTCCTGTGCTCCTGACTCTCCACCAGCTCTGTCACGTCTCCAAACGCGTCCTCGCGTGCTTGAATGCGCCACCCGCGGCCGCTGGGAGTTGAGGGCGGGAAGAGGGGCACAGCAGGTGAGCGAGGAGGGGACAAATAGGCAAGCAAGTAATGTCCTGTGCTCCTGACTCTCCACCAGCTCTGTCACGTCTCCAAACGCGTCCTCGCGTGCTTGAATGCGCCACCCGCGGCCGCTGGGAGTTGAGGGCGGGAAGAGGGGCACAGCAGGTGAGCGAGGAGGGGACAAATAGGCAAGCAAGTAATGTCCTGTGCTCCTGACTCTCCACCAGCTCTGTCACGTCTCCAAACGCGTCCTCGCGTGCTTGAATGCGCCACCCGCGGCCGCTGGGAGTTGAGGGCGG